CGAGTGTCAACAATGGTGCTACCAGCAGGTCCTCCATTGAGGTTTCAAGAGTACCCAGAACGGGGACTATTATCAATGTCTCTTCAACCCATTCAATTCTCCATTTGTTTAACATTTACTATAATCAGGTGTACCAAAACACACCATACAAATATAAAAAAAACAACAACTACAAGTGCCAGTTTCAATTGGTTCTTTTTCCATTATATTGCATCTACGAATGTTCCGGAAATGGGAACGAGATCATCTCAAACCGTGAACGGCTCCTTCTTGCATGCTTTTCATTCATTAACAACGCGTTAAAATTATACACAGAAGGTGAATCAATGACCACAATACTTTCAGAAAAAAGAAAATAACTTCTTATGATCAAAATCTTTGTTTTTTTTTACATCTAATTTATTTATTTCTTTTGTTACAGGTTCGTATTAAATTTGGTAAAACCCGTTCTTCCCTTGGTTCTTTAGTAAGTAATAAAATAAACATCAGAAATAATAATAATGACAAAGTTAAATGTAATTCTAACAGATTTATGAATGTACATATTTTGTTGAATTAATTAATTTGTTGAAGCTGCGATGAAAGTAAATCAATTAACCAAACAATGGTCGGATTACGTATCAGTATTATCGTCGTGAGTTTTCCTTATCTCTTTTTCAATGTTGATATTTGCAATAGTAATAGTAAACATTGGCTTAGTTAAACATTGTTTTTGAATGATTCAATCAAGTGTGATTAATACCTGTTATTTATAGAAAAACTATAGCAACCAATTATATTAACATTGGTTGCCTGAGAGATTCAATGTAATCATTGATGCTGAAGTTCCTTGGTGTTCTTCACCTTTATAAAAAGAGACGTTAACCATTTAAAATATTCCAGAATGCAAAACGATGCTACGGAAAGAAAATGAGGGTAAAGAGGAAGAAGTGCATTAAAATTGTAGCCTCGTGCACCTCAGACCGTAAAATATATGCTAAGGTCAGCGTACCATAAAACCATCAAAAAAAAATTACCAACTAGAAACAACGAATTACACTTGATTTTTCTGATTTAATCAAACCGACACAACAACCCTCATCAACAAAAAAAAATAAATAAATAACGCAGCGAAGATAAGGAAAGCAAACTTTTTCCCACACTCGGAAAAAAGCAATTAATTAGATTAATTACAAGAGTTATTTGTTTCCCAGCACAGTCAGCGTTTTAATTAGATGGAGATCAAGAGACTCGAACGAATCTAAAGGAATGGTATGGACTGTGGTCATGGTTGATACAGTTAAATGAATTCTGTTGAAAGTCTTTACGCTTTGGCGAACGTTATTCTTTTTTGCGGTTATCAATCTTTCTATGTCGTTACTTAACTTGGTTGCTAACGTCCTTGTTGATGTTCTGAAGATGTTGCCATGGAAACGTTGATGGATGTCAGGGTAGAAGGAGCAACGTAATCTGAATAACAAATTCTGCAGGAAGTCGAGTGTGCTCAAATAACATACATATACACACAACGCATGGTAAAGACAATATATAATATAAATATATACAGGGTGTGTCTGCAGCTCTAATACTCATACATTACCTATCGGACCATTTCAACTGTATGCAATCATATGCAATTTCCGAGTCGGACTCTCCTCTGCTTCGATATGAATTAAGCATGGACTTTGTTGCTTATATATTGATTGTAAATATGTACAACGAAACGAAAGTCTTCAAACGCGTCCATCGTAAATTTGTTTTAACTCCCAACCCATCACAATAAAATCCCTAGCATCTCATCAATCTGTCAACTCATTCAATTAAAATTCCCTAAAATTCATATTATTCAGGTGACAATTTAAAAGTTCTTCCAACATACAATAGTAAAATCCCCATGTCAATGAATTTTATAATAATATTAAGTTCATAAAACATTTCAATTAGTTTTGAATAATCTAATAATTAGTATCTGTTTTAATTAGTATTGAAATTAATACTTAAATTTAATCAGGTCAAGTTTCGAACAACGAAAATTACACCGAATTGACCATCAGTGGAATTCCGTAAATTGTATAATTTTCAATTCACTTTCACGTCCTATTATAAAGCAAAATTTAGTTTTCTTTAATACCAAATTAGTATTGTTCACTAAGTTTAGCAGTTTACAATTGAAAAGCAACAATTGCCATTTTTTGTAGCATTCTTTATTTAAAAGTAAAATTCGAATGATAAAAGCAATATTAGATAACAATTGAAGGTAAAATTTTCGAAATAATTACAAAGACAATTGTTTAAAAAAATAAACGAAGGGAAAATCGAATTTGTAATGTGAAGAATTGTTTGTTAATCGTAACAAGAATTTAATAATGTATATAGAGTTTCGCTCTATTGAAAATTTCTCGAGAAATATGCGTTTTCGAATCTGATTAAGTTTATAATAAATAATAGACAATTAGAAAAAAACGAACATCAGTTAAACCTATTTGAATCTATTAAACGTTAAAACATCTTGGATATTATCCAATCTTATTTGCGGAGAGAAAGACTAATTAAAAGAAAAAAAAAATATCATTAAAAATCTCGCAGATAATTGTAACACAATTACAACAATGAAATTCATTAAGAAAATAATGTTTTTTTTTTAAATATATTTAATTAATCAATTATAAAGATTGTAAATAAGTAAAAGTTATGTATAAAAAGGTTTAAAATCGTTAGAAGAAAATTAAATTTAAAAAATGTTCATTAAAAAAAAAATTGATTTCTTAACAATGATATTAAATACATTTATTGTATTCAAATCAATGTATTAGAGTCGTGATTAGTTTTATTTCCATGACAACGTGGTGAATCATGAATAAAAATAGATTAGTCAGGAAGTTACCTATGGACTACTTCATTACATTGATGTTAATAACATTTTTTTATAATTATTTTAATATAGAGGCTTGAATATTTTTATATTTCCATGACAACATATGTCATCATGGATCCAAATAAACGGAGATCAGCTAGTAACCATAACAATCATTTGGATTAGAATGGATTACAGCCTTTTGAAATTATTCATTGAAAAATTCGTTAAGATGATTGAAGAGTAAAATTATTTAAGATGAAATTTTCATAACATAGTTGAAGTAATTCCAGCGATATTAACTTAACAAAATCAATAAATTAAATGTTAAAGGTGCAGTTAATACTATTTCCATGACTACAATAGTTAATCACGAAAAGCAATATAAACAGATACTGAAGTAAAATGGATTGCAGCATTTTAAACTTCAAATTATTGATTGGAAAATTTGTTAATATGATTGAAAAGTTGATGATTTCAATCAAAGCAATAATTGTAATTATTTATGTTTTCATGACAACATAGTTGTAGAAAGATGTATGTTACTTGCAGCAGATCATAACTTGTACAATGCTTTATTCCAATGATATTAACTTAACAAAATCAATGAATTAAATGATAAAAGTGCAGTTAATAATATTTCCATGACAACAATAGTTAATCACGAAAAGCAATATAAACAGATACTGTAATAACCATGACAATAATCACTTAGATTGAAATGGATTGCAGCATTTTGAACTTCAAATTATTCATTGAAAAATTTGTTAAGATGATTGAAGAGTTGATGATTTCAATGAAAACAATAGTTGTAATTATTTATGTTTTCATGACATTATTATGTTGAAGAAACACCAATGTTACTTGCAGTAGATCAAAACTTGTACAATGCTTCATTCCAACTATATTAACGTAACAAAATCAATGAATTAAATGTTAAAGGTGCAGTTAGTATTATTTCCATGCCAACAATATTTAATCATGAAAAGCAATATAAACAGATACTGTAGTAACCATGACAATAATAACTTAGATTAAAATGAATTGCAGCATTTTGAACTTCAAATTAGTCATTGAAAAAATCGTTAAGATGATTGAAGAATTGATGATTTCAATCAAAACAATAATTGTAATTATTTATGTTTTCATGACAACATAGTTGTAGAAAGATATATGTTACTTGCAGCAGATCATAACTTGTACAATGCTTTATTCCAATTATATTAACTTAACAAAATCAATGAATTAAATGTTAAAAGTGCAGTTAATAATATTTCCATGACAACAATAGTTAATCACGAAAAGCAATATAAACAGATACTGTAATAACCATGACAATAATCACTTAGATTGAAATGGATTGCAGCATTTTGAACTTCAAATTATTCATTGAAAAATTCATTAAGATGATTGAAGAGTTGATGATTTCAATGAAAACAATAATTGCAATATGTTTTCATGACAACATGGTTGAAGAAGGATCAATGTTACTTGCGTAACGATATTAACGTAACAAAATCAATGAATTAAATGCTAAAGGTGCAGTTAATATTATTTCCATGACAACAATAGTTAATCACGAAATACAAGATAAAATGATACTCTAGTAACTATGACAATCATTGAGATTAGAGAAGTATTGAATTTCTAAATACGCTTTGAAATAAAATCGTTTAGCAGCGTAAAACCAAGTTAATTAAATGACCTAGGTAAAGTTGCTGAAACGTTTGGACTTTGATTTATTTATTTATTTGTTTTTTGATGCATTATGGTTTGAAGTATATATAACAAAGTGAGATCGGTTCGAGTGAAAGACGTTCGTCGGTGTTGTTTGTTGTTCGGCTTTGGTCCGTGGCGGAGGGGGACGGGTAGTGGGAAAACGTACAACAACAACAACGAGCATTAGTGTTGCACGGTGTTGAGTGTGTGTGTATGTATGTGTACGTACAGGTGAATGTGTGTGTGTGTGTACGTATGGTAAAAGCGGCGACCGACGGTTGCAGGTCTCAGTTTTACCTGTCGGCAGGTGCGCGTGTGAGGTGTCCTCTCTCAGAGTTCTTCCTTCCTCCTCCGCGGAAGACAGACACCTTCGACGTTCGTCCTTTCTGCGGCGTTACGCAACAGTCGCGCACTTACAAAATCGCGACAACAGCAACAATAACAATAAAAAAAAGACTTTTGCGCAAAAATGTGATATTATCTCGACAAAGTTCTGTTTTCTCTTCATCGTACTGCCATTATTCTTCGTATTCCCAGTATGTATTAGTCGGTTTTCAATGCAGAAATATATATATATATATATATACTTATAACATATATATCTAAAGAGAGAGAGAGAGAGAGAAAGAGGAGAGGAGTAAAAGTTCGAAAGAAAAGTGTATGCGGCGTAACGGTTGATATCGAAGCGGAATTCGCTCCGATTTATTATTAATTTCCGCATATTTTTGCGGTAGCGCGAATTATCATCATTAATTAATTAATTATAAAAGAAATAGTAATTATAATGTGGTGTACATTCGCATAGAGAAAAATTGCTGCATGGTAATAAACATATATGCACGGGGCTACGTGATTATTATCGCCCGAAGGAAAACATGAAAATGGCAATAATAAGGTCATGGAATGTATCTGTGCAGTTGTACAGAACTCTTAATGAAACTAAAGGAAATATTGGTAAATACATACATACATACATCATTTGATATCCAATTAAACATCTCTATAAATTCATTCATTATTTATTAAAAGTTAGTTATACCAATTAATGTTTAGAACAAAAAATGGAATACGTAAAAAATAACATAAAATTGTAGAACTAAAGGAAACATTTTGAAATAAATAAGTTAACAAATTGATTTGATTAAAAATGTTCGAATTTTCAAAATCAAGAATAAATAATTAAATTAACAAATTAAAAATGTGTGTATTTTCATTCAATTGTATGTAAATTAATTAAGAAACAAAATATTTTAAAGTTACCAAAAGAAAAATAAGCAAAAATGGCAATATTTAAGACATAATCTAATAACTAAATAAGTTAATAAAAATTCTTTAAAATTACAAAATAAAAATTGCTAACGAAATAACAGCATTTCAATAAAACTAATTATGAAATTATTCCATTATTTCCATTCCGTATATTAAGTTGAATTAAGTTTTAAAACAAAATACACCGAAATCGTCCATTGACACAAAAAAAATACAGCAATCGACTAATACCTATAATAAATCGTATTTATCAACGACTTAAAAGATTACTCTAAGTGTAAAGCAAAGTAATTTAAATTCCTGGAAGGTGATAACAACAGATACGAAGTAGTTTGAAATTACTAAACTTATCATTGTCGCTTTGGAAATACGAAATTAAAGTTTCAATAGAAAATGATTGATTGATAGAGGGAAAAAAAACAACAACATGAATTATTGAAAGTGTGGATATGTCACTTAATAGGAAATTTCGCATTTTCTACTTTACTATCTCCGTTTAAGCAGTATTCCGAAGATGGAAATACTGGATCTATGTTAGTAGCGCATTGATCTTGTATATATATATATACAAAAATGTATTTGGAAAATCAACTTTTTCTCGTCATTATCACTAGTAAATTAGATATTGAAAACTATCGAGAAAACGCTTTCAACTACAACTACAGAAAAAAAAACTACAGTCATTTAATTGCCAACAATTTCGATGTCGTTTATTCTAAAATTAGACGTTTGTAGCATTCCGTTCCAATACAAAATGCACGTGTCCGATTTTGTGAACGCTAAAATTGCCGTCGATACGGATGAAAATTCCTATAGACGCGCGTGCACTACAATCTGCATATTTACGATACACACTTTCCCAGTTATAAGCTACTTAAGTAAAGATTTCTACGCTATTTCAATGATGAATTTAGGAAAATTTTAACATAGCGTAAACAAATTATATAACAAATAGTTTTAATAGTATCCATGGAAATGTTATGTATGTCTAATTCTTCGAAAACCATGGAAACGAAACAATACAAGAGATTATTACGTGTAACGTGTAAAGCGATGGAACTGGGACGTACGTTTACGTGCAGTGTGTGTGTATGTGCAGAGAGGTTCAATGCGATTTGAAGAATCCCAAATGGACGTTAATTGCCGTGCAACAATACGGGCGATTGCGCAATCTGCAAATAAAAAAGCGAGTATAAATAGCAAGGCGACGTTAGGTTCGCCAGCAAGGGAACATAAACAAAAACATGCAAGAAACCTCAAATTAAGTGCATTGTTCTGTCTTGACGACAATGGAGCAACAAGCAGAAGTCAAAAGTAATTGCACTTATTTTATTACTTATTAGTAACGAGAAACAATTGAAACAGTCGTTTGTTAATTAAATGTTGCAAATTTGATATTGAAATTGTTTATTTGATGATTCCTGGAATCATGTACATAAACAAAAAATATGTAACGAACGTTGGAGTTTACGTAATATAAGCTTACCATGACGTCGTCCTTCTCGCTCCCCCCGTTTCGTGTTTTTTTTTTGCACGTAACGTCACTTCCTGTCGTTCTTTCATGGAACAGGAAACGCCGCTGTCGTCAATTCTTTTATTTATTTTCTTGAATATTTATTTACATATTTATTATAAATTATTAGAAACACATTAAAAAAAAACTAAATCATGATCCTAATTAGCGTTTAAACTTAAAGATTTATACTTCCTCACCGCGATAATTGAGATTATTCCGCACTTTATTGAACAAAGTATATTTATTTTCAAATATTAACATATAAAGTGGTGGGAAAGTGCATTGGAATTCGAATGAGATAATAATAAATGTCACGGCCGCGAAGAAGATGCAACAGAATCATTGGATTTTTGCATCTGCATGAATATCAGACCATGATGATGATGAATGGTTGAGTTGCAGAGCGTATCTGCAAAAAGGGTGTCGTATTTCGTGAACGGTGTGCAACGTCCGAGCCAGGTGTATCAATGTTACCATTGGTTAAGATTCCGCAGAGCATTGTCTTCGGGATCAATTAAAAAAAACGGGTTCGCCAATGGTAACTCAACGATCAAACGGCAAACGTTAAATAAATTTAAAAAAAAAAGAAACAGAAGACGAAACATTTAGGGGCCATCCACCTCGCAATAAATCGCAGGTTGTGCAACACTTTATGGATGATGCTATCTGCTCTGATCTTCTTTCGTATCCATATGCATTTATTTTTGTTTTGTTTTTGTTTTCTTCTGCTTCGGTTCTGTTGCTCCATCCATATGGGATTTAGTGAGGTAACGGTTACCAGGCGACGACGTCGTTAACCATAAATCTGGATTATATAAATCCATCGGGCTATTACCATTTAAATTCCTCCATCAGATCACCATTACAATAAATAAAATAACGAAAAAGAAAGATTTACGCGTGACGATTTTAAATTGTCTTCGAGTTAATATTATTTTTCTTTATCTTCTTCATATTATTCAATATAGCTTTACAGTTACAAACGTCACAGTGACATTTACTCATTACACATTGAAGCTTTATCTTGTTACATTAGTAAATTTCAGTAATACCAATAGGCACGTAACTAGTTATGTAAGAAGATTCAAAATTGTCTTTGCTTTACTATTCTTCTATATTTTATTCACTATGACTAGTTGTTTATTGCAACAAACCTCACAATGACACATTAAATCTTTATCGTGTTACCTTAGTAAATTTCAGTAATACCAATAGGCACGTAACTTGTTATGTAAGATGATTCAAAATTACCTTTGCTTAACTATTTTCTTCTACATTTTATTCACTATGACTCTTTGTTTATTGCAACAAACGTCACAGTGACATGTACTCATTACACTTTGAAGGTTTATCATATTACCTTAGTAAATTTTAGTAATACCAATAGGCACGTAACTTGTTATGTAACATGGTTCAAAATTACCTTTGCTTTATTATTTTCTTCTACATTTTATTCACTATGACTCTTTGTTTATTTCAACAAACGTCACAGTGAGATGTACTCATTACACTTTGAAGGTTTATCATGTTACCTTAGTAAATTTCAATAACACCAATAGGCACGTAACTTGTTATGTAACATGGTTCAAAATTACCTTTGCTTTATTATTTTCTTCTACATTTTATTCACTATGACTCTTTGTTTATTGCAACAAACGTCACAGTGACATGTACTCATTACACATTGAGCCTTTATCATGTTACCTTAGTAAATTTCAATAACACCAACAGGCACGTAACTAGTTATGTAAGATGATTCAAAATTGTCTTTGCTTTACTATTTTCTTCTATATATGTTTATTGCAACAAACGTCACAGTGACATTTACATTACATAACACTGCAAGGTTTAAGATATCTTAGTACATTTGAAATAAGTCAGGCTGAGACGAAAAAATATGATCACACTTATTAATAATAATAGGAACGTAACTAGTTATGTAAGTTGTTTCAATGACTCTTTTTTTATATTTCAACAAACGTCACACTGTGACATTTACTCATTACATGTTATTGGGTTAGTAACTAAATTTTAAATAAGCCGGATTTAGACGAGAAATTATGATCGCACCTAATAACAATAGGCATAACATAACAAGTTATGTAAGTGGAATTTCCGAGGATTGAAAAACATTAAATTACAAGTGTGTTTTATTGTTTTATGTTGTTTTTTTTTTATCGATAACAAACTGAAGTGCACTTCGGATTATTATGATTTAATAATTACAAAAGTAGCGTTTTCTTTGAATGTTGCAGTCGCAGCGTTGCGGAATTATTGTGACCGTCTGTTATGGAACAAAGGTCTACTTCATGACTAATATAAACCAACGAAATGCCAGGATACAAACATTGAATCTGCTAAATTGTGACCGTACAAAATAATACCTTCTCCTTTTTTGAACATCCTTATTATTTATACATTACATCTTCATTTATATACAAAAAAAAACGTCTAAAAATACAAGTTTTACAAAATTATTTATGAAATTGCTATGGAAAATAACAAAAATTTTCAACTGTCAATTAACAAAATAATTGTCTTTTTTTTAAGATTCCCATTAATTACTATTAAGTAGTTTTCATTGATACAAAAAAATGCATTTTCCGAAAATTTTACTAAAAATATAACTTATTAAAATTACATAAGAATGTTCAAAATCATATATCAATTAAGAAAAATCCACTTTTTGAACAAAGACTAGAGAATTCCCATTTGCTCTTCGCTTTCATTACCTTCTTCATTTTATTGCCACTACGCGCGCAAGTACATTTATTTGTCTTTTTTTATTATTATTAATGAGTATGCAGAATACGCTTTTCCAAAGGCGCAAAGAAGAAGCATTTGCATTTCTTTCGAGCCGTCTCCGTTTCGTTCCGTTTTAGTGCCGCGCCATTCGGGATCCAACACACAGTTATGTTTACCATTTCAGAGGATCGACAAATAAAAAACGCGAAGAAGAAGCAAAAAAAAAGAAAACAAGAAATATGTACACATTTGCGCGCTGCTTTGCATGTTAAATATTGACACTTCGTTCAATACACTTTGAGCTACCTCACGTATACACATAATTCCGAAAGCCTTATCACCGTGTTTCCATCCTTGATACACTTTTGTTGTTTTTTTGACATTGACGTTCGTTTTCGAGCAATTCGTTCAAGGAAAATTACTCAAAATGAAGTCGAAATTGCTGCGAATCTTGAAAAAAAAAATTAATAAAGGAAGCATTAAAGAAAACAATTACTCGAATCGATAGTGGATTTATTATCCATTGACCTTGCTCGAAAGTAATAAAAAAAAATAAACACGTAATAATTTTTTTAAAAAATCGAATGCACGGCATTTTCCATTCGATTTCCAACTTTTCCTCGGAAAAACGAATTTCAATTAATTGCACGAAAGTGAAACACGCGGTCTTCCTTCCTCAGCATATGCGTCTGCTACTTATTTCTCTTTTTTTATATATATTTTTCAACGATTTAATTAGCTTTAATTACACCGCAGCTTTCACCGACTTTTCTATTTAATACTACTAAAAATACATTTCGAGAAATCCACAATAATTTCACGCATATTACAATTTTTGAGCAAAAATTCTACAACAAGAACAACAACAAAATAAATAAGAGTTTTCATTTTACAAATTACTAGATAGTAATGCGTTTTTAATGGCGCCGCGAGGAAAGTTCTAAACTTTATTGTCTCGTTGCATTATAATTTATATTTTTTGTGCTAAAATGAATTGTTTAATATTATTAATATTAAATGGGTCACATGAAAAGCTGTTTGTTGTAACTACAAAGGTATTTTAATACGAGTCACGGACGTAAATCTGGCTTTTCATTGTTGTTACGCAACGATTAAAATGGGTGCAAGGAATGCGTGGTCTGCTATCATTTTGGCTCCTTGGGATTTGTAACGTTTTATGGTCGATTTAAGTCCGGCTTATGCAAATTGCGCAAGGGAACAACAGTGTAATGGGATAAATTACGTCCAGTGTTTCGTTTTCGTTGTCTTGAAGGTATTTCGAATCTAATATGATTTTCCACAAAGGCATTGTTGCTGCTCCCTGTTGCGTGGCAACGCGAGAAAGAATCCCCCGATTTAGAGTTGCGACATCCTTGCAGGACGACAATTGTATAATAATCGATTCGAGGATTTCTAAATTTAGACACAGAAAAAAACAAGAATGCAAACAAACGCGAATTTCGGAAAAGGACATTTCTGTTATAACATAAGCAAACAATGGAATTTGCGAAAAATATGAATGGAAAAAAGAAGAAGATGGATTTCGTAATCTGCAAAAATAGAAATTAAAAACCACTTAAAACTATCATTGCAAAAACTATTTAAACAATCATGAAGACTCAAAAGATCTATTTAATTTGAGAAAAGATGAACATTAATAGTATAAATGTCAAAATTTTCTATTTAATTTAAAAAATTACATAAAATGTAAATTAGAATTTGCAAAAATTAGGTTCAACGACCGATTTTTTTTATGTGTATAAGTCTGAACTTGACTTTTTAAATGTAATAAATTAAGAAATGAGTATAGAAAAGAATAACATTGTTTCGTTTCTTAGGTGTTTTTGTTTTTTGTTAGCTTGCGTTTGTTTTCATGGGATATTAATATATGAAAATCACCGTGAGAAGTGTTGGTGAACAATGAAGAAGGAATGGTTTATATTCAAATGAGATTTCGAACAGTGCATTATTATTATTAATGTTGATGGCGCGGAAATCTGAAATTAACGGAAACAATAACGCTGTAATTTCTAATTGCAAACGTTTGAAACAATTAAAAAAATTTCGATATCCTCCTATGAATATCGATAGAAAATTAGGTTGGGTCGTAGAGATGATTAAGTATGGAAATAGGAATTAATGGTTTGCCATAAATATTATTTTTCTTTAAAAGCGAACAATAATTGTTAATGATTCGTAGGAGGAAATAGGTAGGGTCAAGACTAGGAAGAGACAGAGGTGTATTCTGTAATAGAGATGATTAGATGTTACTATGGAAATGATTAAACACGTTGTCATGACGTTGCTGAAACGATTGTTGTTTTTGATCAAACAGAGATTTAGATTAGCGCTGCTGCATACTACGTTCGTACACTTTTGCTCCTCTCGTGCATTCGTTGTGCATTATATAATTTTAATTTTGTAGTGTTCGTTTCGTGATTGCGCGAAGCCGTAGGAGAATCGCGAAGTGATATGATATGTTTGACAATTGCCATACATCGTACGTGGGACCAAAGTGTTCGGAGGTGGCCGAGAAGCTGGTGCAGATCTTCGGATGGCGGCACACTTATAACGTCGAGAAGCTGCAGAGGAATGTCCCGGGACGGGACACCACTCGCATCTCGATCACCAGACCCACCTACATTAAAGCCACAATCAACGAAAAGGTAATACGGATGATGATCATGAGACTGTGTCCATTTGTATAATTGAGGTCTTCGCATTGTTGTCTTGCGACCTTACTGGTCGTCCACCTCTGCGCAAACTACAACTTATTCGGTACCCGCCTTCTTCGTAATGTTTGCAAACAAATACATACCTCGATTGTCGATGGTCTGGATTGCATGTAATTTAGTCATCGACTGTATTGATAATTGTACGACTAACTGTCGCCAATGCAGCTACGACCTAACTGTACAAAGAAGTCTACTTCCTATCGTGTTCTTTGGAAACCACGAAAAAAAACTGAAAGGAAATTACAATGAAAAACAAGTGAATTGCTTATGCGACGTAAACCCATTCAATTTACTTACATCGACTCGATTATGTGACTTTCATTATCCTCCGCAAAACCCGATTCGGACGCAGAAGCACCCATTAGGACTGATATTACGTCGGTTTCATTATGTAACATACAGATAAATGCATATTTATTAAATCTAAATAGATGTACGTTATAAACAACAAATTTACCACAACTACAGATTGTTTTGAACATCGACTTATAATTTCTAAATTATATGAATAAAGTTAATGGCTGTTAAATCAAATAGCGAACGGCGAGCTTCGGAGAAAGCTGTGATCAATATTGCGGTTGAGTTGTCAAACGTGCATAAGTAATTTATGGAAGAATTATATTTGCAATGTTGTTGTACACGTTGGAAATCCTTACCTATTCCTTCTGGTTGTTCATGGAAAATCACTTCTTCGGATGGACGTGTTAAAAGGATTTATTTTTGGAGAATTTAAAAGCACATTCTGGAAGATCACAATTATAACTGATTGATCGATGCGTTGTTATATAATTGTTTAACTTCCAAAGCAATCTTTAATTATTTCCCTTTTCTTTTTATATTTGTTCACCCGCAACCAGACTTACTCCAAGAAAATATTATTTCATCTGTAACACGAAATCCCGACAATCAAATTCCCGACATAGTAAAAATCCCAATAACCATAATCCAAACAGTGTTAATATTCCGGCAGTATTAAAGGAGTCTCGATGGAGGTTTCTTTGTATTTAAGTGTTTGTTTATATAATAAGACGTATAGATTAAGAAACTTCGTTGATGTCTATTGTACACTACAAACGCTCGTTTTTATTTTTTTTTGTGTTACGTCTACATCTAATAATAAAAGTTACTGTCGGGATTTTCAGTGTCGAGAATTCAGTTGTTGGGATTTTGATCCGAATCGACTATGATATATATTGGTAATTAGAAAACAATGGTTTAGAAACAGCTTGATTTAATTTCTGGGTAAAAGTGGAGTAATTCGCTTCTTGTTTAATCCGTTTACTAGTACAAATAAGAGTGCAATTATTTCGAGTCCGGAGCGCGTAATTGCCCCCACCAAAGAATAAAAACCGGATATCCGGCGGTGTACACCAATTTCAAGCATCATAGAAACAGAAAGGAGACGCAAGGAATAACCGCCGACAATGCGAAGGAAGCCTTGAGGGTGATTTCGGTATAAACGGATGTGTATATACATACACACAACCAGTGGCAACAAACAGAGAGAAAGAACAAAGTTGAAATAAAGGAACAAGAGTGTCGAAGAAGCGTTTCGCAACGTACGAAAGGTCTCCAAATGAATGAGTATGCAACGTCGTGTTTAGAAATCGCAATTACGTGGAAAAATAATTGTGAGCGAATAATAATAAAGCGGCGTTATTATCCTTCTTGAGTTGCAGTCGAGGAAGTGCATAAGATGAAGCAATCAGCAATTAAAGCCGAAATACGAGAGAGAGAAAGAAAAAAAACATTGAAGAGATTCAAATGGGCGGTGAGACGACGAACCCGAATGAAAAGCGAAATTTCGTGTAGCGTGAAAGTCGTTCACGAGAAGTTTCGGTGGAGGATCGCCGCAGGATGAATGACGGACACGACGACCCGACCTGGAACTTTCTTTTCAAGGTCTTTCACCTAAATCTCTGTTGCGCGGCTCTCGCGAGCGCGCGAATTTCACGCAACCAATAAATTAATAATGTATGAAGCGAAGATGCAGAAAGAAGAAACTCATTACAAACTCGACAAAGACAAACCCTTCTTCGAGAATCGAAACACAATGAATTTCTAAATTGCACGCTTAATATTAACAATCTTGTAACCTGATTATAGCTGCTAGACGAGATTGTAGACTTTTGCAGGAAACGAAAGAATCGTTTATTCTCAAGGTCCTATTCGTTCTCATACTTGTATTTAACCATATGATATGTTGCATGCTAATTATTGTAAACATATAAATCAAATCCAATAAGAAGTATTTCTACTAGTATAATAATAAGTTGTAAAGGTAAAAGCAAATGGGATTCGGATGGATTTCAAGTTAGAAATCAATATCGATGTGAAATCGATTAATTGGTTTTCACGCGAAAGAGGAAAACGGACTCGAACGCTCCATTAAGGAAGAGAGCAGAAAAAAACAAGGATTATAGTTTTGCGATCACCACAATACTCCTCGCCTTTGTCCCACAAACCTTATTTTAAGAAATCACCGCAAAAAATCCATCGATTTACGTACATATCATAACGCAATTAAATAATTTAAATAAATTGAGTTCAAAGTCTCAGACAATTTGTCAAAGCGTTGGGAAATAATTACTATTACCTCAATTGCACACAAAAAAATATATAATAAGCTAATAATAATTAGAATTAGTGATTTATTTATTTTTCTAACTTATGCAAATGTTATTTAATTGTATTGCAAATCAAGATATTGCAAATATGCATTAAGTAGTTCAACTTATATCACTCTGATTTAATTGTCAAATTGTGATATGCAGAAAGGAAATATTTCAACTATTAGAGTATAACATTTCACGCCTACGTAAATATTGTTTTTTTTTTGTGTGTTTGTTTCAATTATTCATTTGTTATCGTGCACGTCAAAGTTACATAAATAAAAGCTCAAGATAAAAGAGTTGGCTGATGTCAGTTTTTTTTTGTTTGTTTGTTTGTGTTGACTGGTGTACGCGCCATTAGTAAATAAGTAAGTACGATTCTCATTTAATACACTTAGGTGGAATGTAGCCTACATTAAAGTGAGATAAAGGCGGTGTGATAAGAGCGTAAACCGAGGCACGGTTTATTGCCTCCAGATTATCTAAAGCTGTCGCGTCACGGGACGATGGATTCTCCTCCCAGGTGCAAGAGATACCAATTAAATACTTTATACATTATTATTTTTTTAAATTTTTGTTGGAAATTCAAAACACCTCAGCGTTTGCGTCTCTTTCTGTAATTTGAAATGAGACTGAGGGAGTTAATTGGTCCAGGAGCGGAAACTCTTTGTTCTTCGTGCCGCCTTGGGAAAAACGCGCGCGTTCCCATGAGACTTTCTCGACTCTTTGACTTTCGTTTTTTTTTTGTTGTTGTTGTTGTTGACTCGTTATTAAATTATGGTTTGTTTCGTATTTAGGGTCCCGAGTCATGGCTTGCAGTTCACAATCTGCAATCGCAGGGTGGAGGAATCTTGGACCCGGACGATCGGCTCAGCGATGTCGTTGATGATCGTGAGCAGATTTTGGCCTCGTTCGAGGATGGCGAAGGAGCCCATCATCACGGGGGCGGAGATGGAGCGAGCGGCAGCTCGGTAGGAACCGGAAGCCCCGACATCTTTCACGTGAGTTGTTGCATCCTCCTACTATTATTTATAATATTATTATTATTGAGCGATGACCAAAAATGGTCGAATGCAATCATCATCGATCGTCCCACAATAGCCATTCAGTTTTGTTTGGAACGTGGAAAGCGAAGCATGCAGATTTTACAATACTTGAGGAAATTGCAGGATGGCGAACACAAGTACGGCCCTGGGTACTCGAGGACCGACATCGAGGTAACAGGAGAGCATCTGGCCAACGGCGTGGGTGGCGCTCTTCAAGTGAGAAGAGGAAGCGAACCCGCTTTGAACCAGCTTCCGGTGGGTCCTCCGGCGCCCACGGAACACACGAAGAGATGGAGCGCCGCTCCGTTGATACTCGAACCACCGATCACCGGGTACCTCAACATCAGCACGGATTGGGCTGACGATTCCCGTGAGGAAGAGGAGGATGAAAGACCTGGGACTAGAGGGATAGCGCGAGACGGAAGCAACAGACTGAGCATGCAATTCCTTGGAGATGGGGGCGGGTAAATTGCTCAATATCAAATACCATTAAACAAGAATTAATCAAATCTTAACTTTTATCCAGATACAAATGGGCTGAAGCAGCGGAGCGCGCAGCTAACGCTAGGAACCATACCAGCACTTCACTTCCAAGAGAACAAAAGCGGAAAGAACCATTGGGCCAAGCTAACAATTCATCAAGTCCGATTTCCACGCTGGAAAAGAACGACAGAGGTGAATTGATCGTGATCAGGAACGAACCGGGACCTTTGGGCATCCACGTGGTCCCCGATTACGATCGCCAAGGTAAAGACAGAGGACTCTCCGTGCAAGGTATAGAACCAGGCGGTCGTATCGACAGGGATGGAAGACTTGCTATTTTCGATCGCATCATCGAAATTAACAGTCAAAATCTCATCAACATGCCATTCCCAAGGTAAGAAAACAAGCCAACAAAAATTTATATAAAAAAAATGTTTAAATAATCTCATATTTAGGGTGCAAGAAATGTTTAAACTCTCTTTGACATCACCGGAGCTTCGCCTGAGAGTTATCAAAGCCACAGGCATCGATAATCTGATGAAGCCTCCACCACCCATTTATCCGCGCCTCATGGAAGACAAGGAGAATATTGAAAAATTAGTCGAATGCGAACAAAAACGTAATTATATTTTTTTTCTTTGTTGTATGTAATTTTTAATTTGATTGTTTAATTGTTGGGCTGCAGAAAGTACAAATACCAAAGTGGCGACGGTGTCTCCGACCAAGAAGATCCCGTCCGTGCCGAAGAATTTGAAATCTCTTCTTTCTGCAAACACGAGAAAGATCGGTCGCAAGATCGAATTGGAGCTCACCAAAGGGCCGCACGGTTTGGGCTTCAGTATCACGACCAGGGACAACCCTGCTGGCGGGAATTGCCCCATCTACATTAAGAATATCATTCCGAAGGTAACTTTAAGTAAATTAAACAAAAAGATCGATCAATTAAATTTAAATGTTGTGAATTTAGGGTGCTGCTGTTGAAGATGGAAGACTGAAAATTGGGGACCGACTTCTGGAGGTGAACGGCGTAGAGATGACGGGAAAGAGTCAATCGGAAGCGGTTTCCGTTCTTCGCAACGCGCCGACAGGAAGTAAAGTCAGGATAGTGGTTTCCCGGCAGGAGGATGTCCCAGATAATTCGCTACCTCGAGTGATTGTAAGTAGAGTAGTGCGAATGAATCAAGTAGTTTTGGTACATATCTTAGCTTAGTTTGTGTGATGGTGTGTTGTGTGCAGCTTTTGTGTAGTCACGTTTGTGTTTTGTTTCTTGTAACGTAGGGCGTTGATCCAATAGTCGAGAAGAGCGAGAGCAGGGAGGATGGCTCCAAAGAGGAGAACACACCCCCGACGATACCTCCGTTACCACAAAATCATCAGCGCCAGCAGAGCCTAGACAAGGCAAGCAACGTCGCCAAAATCATTTCACAATTCCAAGAGGCCGCGAATATCTCGACTGTAATTAATTCAATTCTTCATTTCCATTAGTTCGTTTTCTGCACCATCTTCTCTATACTAGTTTCTAATCGTCTGCACTTCTTAAATCATACTATATCAATCTTTTTTTCTTTCTTTTACAATTGATCGTTTTATTAATCCAATTGTTTTTAGCCGGCGGATAAATCTGATGATAGTTTATCGTTGCCATGGAAGCACAAGGATTTGCGAACGTTCAACATCCCCGTTCACGACTCGGAGAAGGCCGGTCTGGGGATCAGCGTGAAAGGTAAGACGAGCGGCTCCCAAGACTTGGGCATCTTCATTAAGACGGTCATTTACGGAGGGGCAGCTTCGAGAGACAATAGACTGAGGACAAACGATCAGCTTCTCAACGTCAACGGCATTTCGCTGCTTCACCAGAGCAACAGCGATGCCATGGAAACGTTGAGGAAAGCCATGTGCCACACCGAAGGGCCTGTCCCTGGCAACATCACTCTGACTATCGCCAGAAGGGCACCAAGTCCTGGCCTCAACAGGAGCTACAGGAATCGCAGCATGGACAGCAGCCTCCTCAACTCCAGTAAGCATCTCAAATAATCATGACCATCTGTTGATCAAACGTTTATTGGTATTATTGATAATTATTTTGCAGCAGCTGACACGGATTCCGATCCATCACTTAACGATCATTCAGGAGGATCAACGAACACAGTGATCTTCAATCCGCACAAATCACCGCACGACTCCAGCAAAAGCTCTTCTTTCAATCAGAGTATCGGAAGCCCGATGAACACCTGGAACCCGGTATTGGATCGGCTGATGGGCAACAATAACAAGCAGTTGCGTAACGAGAGCTACTACAAGGCAACGAACGATACTTGGAACCAGAGCATCTATTCACCGAACATTTCCGGAGGAGCAAACATCATGAGCACGACGGTGAATCTTCCCACAGGAGAACCGGTCCTCATCGAAGACGAGTACGGCTCTAGAGTCATGCAACACAATCGTCCAAAAAATCATCACTCTCCCAATATCAGCAGCCATTTGATGATTCAGAAATCCTCAAGTCAAGTTCAAGAGAACCGCAAGGATCACGAACCCGATGGCAAAGCAAGTCTGAACGATAAAACCATGGATTCTTCACAAAACAGTCAAGTGGTCTGCACCGATGTAACATACGCAAGTCAACTATCATTAGAAAACCCTGCAGACTTCTGCAGGGACGCGTTCGGAAGACAGAGCATGTCAGAGAAGAGACACACAACCTTGGATCCGAAGAACACAGACACCTACCAAAGGACGAAGAAGATTCGCGAGGAACGCGATAAGATTCGTAAAGAAAGTAAGTTCATCTCAGTCTTAAGTTTTGAGTTACGTGTGTGTGTGCAAAACCGCATTGTTGGTAGAGCTTTATGTGTTTTCGTTCCTTATATGTGCTAATTCCAAATCGAAATGTTCTTCTTCAGCTAATCTTGTGCGAGTCGGATCTGTGGAGTCTGTAATCAGTGTTAATAGGTCATCAGAGCATCCAGAATGTAAGCAGCTTACTAATTAACCATTGCTTAAACGCGCTTAACCATTACAACGTTACAACGAATTTAGAATAAATCATATAACTATTATTTTTCCTTATTTAGATGCGGACAAGTTGGGGCAACTGGGACCATCTTTGGGAATGAAGAAATCTTCCAGTTTGGAATCACTGCAAACTATGGTTCAAGAGGTTTGAGTTTAATTAGAATTTCATCTTTTGGACATTGCTAATACGAATTGATTTTTATTAGATTCAAATGCAAGAAGAAGGTGATCCAGCTTACAGTTACCGCGGACCCTCCGGAGCGCTTAAAGTCATAAGAGGTCGAGGATGCGAGGAAAGCTTCAGAGCAGCTGTGGACAAAGATTACAACAAGCACATCGTTGATCCCAATCATCGTAGCGAAATCAGTAAGTTTTATTATTTCAATTGAGTGTGAACTGTGAATATTAAATGAAATAAATATTAGGTGCAAAGAAACATTGGTTGTTGGATCCTCCGGTGGATTACGAAAAGGACGGAGAAGGTTTCAACAATGTTCGAGGAGGTCCAAGACAATCCTCGCTAAATGCAGCCATCGACTCAAAACACAAAGCAGCAAAGAAGAAACCATCAATTTTCAAAGGAATTGGTTCGATGTTCAGGTAAATTGCAACAAGAAATCAATAATATCAAAATTACTTAACATAATTTTTGTTTTATTGTAGATTTGGTAAACACAGGAAGATCGATTTTCCGATCGAGACTCAACACTACCAGTCGAACAACGAGTTTGATAATGTGGATAACTACGCTAATAAACCTGTGACAACTACTGAAGCTGAAGCCCCTAAGAACGAGAATATGGTGCAAGCTCAAGGCGGTGGTCAGGAGAGCGCGCAGACCCAACCGCAGCAGCAGCAGCAAGGAGCGCACAGGGAGCCGATTTACCAAAGACACGGCTTCATGCATCATCACGCTGAACAGGTGCAGGTGATTCCTGAAAATGCGACCATCCAACCGGTCAGATACAGGAATAACCACGAACCCTCAAACCACGGAAGAAGTAACCTGATGAAAGCGCACGAACAAAGGATGGCCAGAAACTCTTACTACCCACCATCATCTGAAGAACGAGAGCCCCACTACGAACAACTGCCCAGACAGGTTACTAAATTTTAACATTGCACTTCTTCTTAAACTAACACTTTTAATTTGTTTCTTACAACAATAAATTGTCTTACTAAACATATTTTTTGAATCACACGCACGAAATCCTAGTCCTTTTTTTTTCAATCTTTACACACACAAGGTTTATAGAAAACCAGGATATCGATTAAATCGTTGCTTATTTCTAGGTCTATATTATATTTTTGCACATTTGATTTGCATGCTGTTCGAGAATTGAACTCTTTTCTGTAATATGAATTCGTTCTTTTTGTATTGTTTTTATAGCAGCAGCAGCAAACGAGGGTTGTTGCTGAGCAGAACGGGAATTACGGAGAATATGGGCGGCCCGGAAGTCGATCAGGAATAACAGAATCCGTACCGTTCACACATTACGTGAATTACAATGAACTCCAGACGCATCTCAGGTAATACGATAATGCAGAATAATTGCGATTTAATTAATAGTTAATAATGGAGCGAAGCAGGAAGATCCGAAATACCGTTCGGAAAATTGCTCATCAGCGCTAATAAAAAAAAAAATGTATCTACGATCATAATAATACGCAGAATAGGTAAATAGATGGAAACGGGACACACCAATTAAAAGTTTATAATTGGTTGGAAAATTAGATATTCTTAATCGAGTAGAGAATTTGACATTAATCTGCGGTAAGCGCAGATACAGTTATATCGAATTGGTGTTGGAATTAAATTATGTAACGAAATCGCCAGCAAACTAACAACTCACAGTTTCATCTACACGTTTGTATTGTTATTATTATGTTGTTTAATTATAATCACGTGACTAATATCTATTAACTCGGAAAGGTGGCTGGCTTATATATGAAGAATGATACATGTTTATTTTTGTTTATTTTAATTTCATTGTTTTTGTTTACACTTGTCGTTCTAACAACAGAAATATGTTTGTATTTTGTTTTTGGTGTTTTGTCCCTTGACACTCTATCGCAGTCGCTCCGATCAACTGTCTGATTCTCAGATAGTGCAGATGCGCCTTCAGGTGCAGCAGCAGAGGTTAAAGGTGGAGGAAGAAAGGTACGCACTCTATATTCTATATTTTTTCTCTTTTTCACGCACAGATCTCAAGTATCTTCTCTTCTCTCTACATATATATATCCCTATCTAGTTCTCTTATCTATCTACCCTTGACATCCGGTATTCCCATCTTCTAGTTAAACCAAAAACATCATTACTATTATTCTGTCCGAAGTTAAAGCGAATTTGAAAATACCGGACTTTAGTGTATCCACCTTCTCTTTGGAACTGGTTTATTCCGTTCACAAGAAGAAAATATGATTACCATCGGTTGAAGAAGAAGAAGGTGTAGCTTTCCAATTTAAATTCTTGCATGCGATGTGTTCTATGTTTCTAATTTATGTAATAATCTTGTGGTTCTGTAGATCTTGGAAAAGTAGTTGCTTCTGTTCTCTTATTTACAGGTGAACTTCGTGCATTTACATTTAAATCTAATAATGCATTGAGTATTATTGTTTTCTAAGGCTATTAAAGTATTTTTTTTATAGTTATTGATACGACAAATTAAATTGAATTTATCGTTATGACAACAGCTTGAATTCAATGTTACATGACATTAATTCCCTGTAAATCGTTACTATAGTAATCATCTGAAATAGACATAATTGTTAATATTGTCCAGAAATTAAGTTCCAATCAGGTGAGGAAAAAAGAAGGCGTATTGATTAAACGGAACTTACTTTCTGGATATTTGTTAAGTGTAGATTTTATTATTTATGGTTTTATTTTCCAAATTATAGCCGAAAGCAGCATCAGTACCATTCCCAGAGGCAGCCCAGACAGGACAACCAGCTGAGACCCGTATCAAATTTCTACGAATACGAGAGCGTGCAGTCTCTGCTGAACACGCGAGGACGAAATCTCTACCAGGATAACAACAACGCCATGGGTAGACAACAGCAGCAACCAAGGCAACATCAGAATGCTAAGCAACAGCACCATCAACAACGAGGTCCCTTCGTTACGCAAGTAACCATAGGCGACGGTTCCCAACAGCAGCAGCAGCAGAACGGAACCAAAGTTTGAAACCGAGTCCATTCCATTGAAAGTATTATAAAATGTTTATAAATATATGGCTTTATATGTGTATTGTTTGCGTTACAAAGCTTCACGAGGAAGAAACGTAAAAAGCTTGTGATTCAAATGATTATTTTTTTTTAATTTCCCCCATTATTTTGTTCTTGTAATATTTTATAATATTTTTTTTTTAAATAATCGACGGTTACTTTCGATTTTATATATATATATGTAATAATCTGTATTTAATTGAATAATTTCCCATTAACGTCGTACGATGTGCTCATATTAATTATTATAAAATAATATAATTTTTTTTTTGTATTAAGTGATTTCTTCGTCCGGAACACGTGCTTATTACGCATACACGAGATATGATAATGACTAAAACATTTATGTATTTCTTCTTCAAAAAAATTCGAACTCTTTTTATTTTATAATTATTATTATTTTTTTTGTGTTAAGTGATCTGTACATATATTTAAATATTTTATTATATTGTACATACATATTTTAAATAAATTTTATATTATAATAAAGCGGACTTTTCTTTATATAGAAATCTGTATTTTTAAAAATAAAATATATATTTTCAATGGGAGCGCAAACATAAAACGATCTACTTAAGTACATATTTTTAATAAAATGCCTAGATTACATAAAAAGTGCTCTTACAACTAAATATACATATTCATCAGAATTATCGATTATTCTTACAATTTCTTTCTGTACACTTTTAAAATAAATACTCTACATCGCTAGGCTCTCCTACAATTTTGCAGAAGAGATATAAGTCTTTCTCTCTGAGCATCGTCAAACGTATGTGCAGCAGCCTGAAACAACGATATAAATGAATTGTTCTAAAAAAAAAATTGAAAATGTATATTAATTACCGCGATGTTTTCTTCGATCAGCTCGTAATTCTGCTTTTGTGTCAACGTATTTCGGACGACCTGCAAGAAAATTTGTATTAGTAATTACTTTCAAACGGTAAGATTAATTTAACTCACTGTACAGATTGAGGAAAGCATGTTTAATACACCGTTTTCCGCGGGCGGTGCTGATTCACTTTCAGTATTATTTTCAAAGATGGGCTGTGAATGATAATAGTATTATTATTAAGAGTCTTTTGTGGTTTTGATTAAATGACTTACCACCCCTTCGATATCGCAAGCAACACCATCATAATCCTCATCAGCGACGGGGTCTTCCGTTGCTTGAATTTCTGCAGTTTCCTCGCGAGGCGGAGACTGTGGTAACGGTGAAATGCCGAGACTGTCGATCTGATTCTGCATATCCTGTATCGAACCATTCGTATCATCCATTTGACCTAAAGGCTTCCACATCGGATTCTTCTTTTTGTTCATTTTTCGATAAGCGGACTTCTCTGGCAACTCCTTGAAGTATATCTTTTCGCAAGTCGTAGGAGGATCAGGGAAATTAACTCGTTTTCTCTAAATATTAAGTATTAGCCCAAATAGTTCGCAATCGATTATTACCTTAGCGAGTGGTGATCCTTTGTCCGGGCTGTCCATCGAGTCCGGCTGCTTCCTCTTCAAAATGCTCAATCTCGGCGCGGCTAACGGACTAGGTACTACCTTCTCGAACTTCAGAACGTCGTTCGAGTTAAACTTGAGACAATCTTCGTCCATGTTCAGATCGGATTTACTACAGTTCTCCATCATCTTTCGAATGCGATCCGCTTTCGGTGATTTTAGGCAGTTAGCGCTCCTCGCCAACTCCGTCACCGGTCGGGGAACACGCGCTTTGCTGCTGCTTCCCACCAAATTGAGCAATCGCGATGATCGGGTACTGGAAGCCTTCAATCCTGCCAGGAAATCATCCTCGACCATATCCATTTTGTCTTCGTACGCTACAACCAAACGATTGTTACAATTTGCATATAAAACATCAATAACAAAACAATTGCTTTTCAATAAAAATGTACATACTGTCAGTGTCTGACAAGTAGGTGCCGGTTGGCAAATTATCATCGTCTCCAACATTCTTCACAGCCGCCTCAAACTGAATGGGTGAAATATCCAAAGTATCGCTAAGCAACGCTTTGTTTTTGCTAGGAGTCTCCTGGTTTATTGGACTACACGTGAGCTCATTGGACAACTTCACAGGCGTATTTATGAAACTTCCTGCGACACTCTGCGTGTCCTCATTCGCCACATCCAAGACACTGTTTTCTTCCAGAGTCAACGTGATATCAGCTAGCGAGCTATTAGCAGGTTTATTCGAAAACAATGATACACGAACATTCCGGGCTGGAGTCTCATCCGTGCACGGAATGATATCCGATCCATCCGAATTGTTCAATATTTCTGGAGATACTGCTGGAACCGAAGACACCTTATCAGATGAAACTTCTTTTTTCGACGACGTATCGTTGGTTGCTTTTGGACTTGGGGTTTTTTCGGTTATTATAATTTCCGTTTCCACTTCTGCCGAAAGTGTTTCAGTCTTCTCAACTTTGCTGGATGCCGCATTGTCTACGACATTAGTCGACGTTGTTTCAACATCCTTGCTCGTCAAAGGATTCTCTGTTATATTCAATGATTTTGTTTCGTTCTGTTTTTTCTCTGCACTTGCAAGCGGTTTACTGTGCACTTCAACTGTAAGCTTCTCCATTACCTTTTTCTGCGACTTCTCCTCAATCACAGATGTTTCAGTTTCTGGGGATTCGTGATGCTTTTTAGTCATTAAAGTGGTCTTGCAGTTAGATTCGGAAGTATCGTCTTTATTAGTCTCAGTTTCTTCAATTTGCATTTGTTCGACTGGTTTCACGGAAACAGAAGACCTGGTCACTAATGGTTTTTCAATTTCTTTAGACGTGTTAAAAGAATTTGATTCCTCAGTATTTAAAGAAAGTTTTTTGTTTTTACCTGAGGGCCGCCCTCTTTTCTTCTTTTCCACTAATACGACCTCAGTTTGAGGACTTTGATTTTTACCGACCACACTGTTGTCTACTTTAATCTCGAACACCTTAGATTTAGACTTCTTCAGGTTTATTTTATTCGACTCAGATTCATTGTTCACGTTCTTATCGTTCTCCGTACTTTCTGGGTCGGCGGCGAGCGATTTTCGCTTCTTCATTGAAGTGGATACACCCTCGATTTCTTCGCTGCCCCAAGTTTTCCGTTTGATGCTACGCTTCTTGGGCATTTGCAAAAACTTATCCGCACCAACGATATCCATCTTCAGTAAACCCAATTCTCGACTAGTTTTCAGTTTTATCTTCTCCTCCTCCTCAGCTTTCGTATTCTTGGCTTCATCAATCTTCGCTTTATCTTCAGTTACTTTCTCAGCATTTTCCCGTGGAATGCTAGTATCTGTACTCTCTACTGGTGCATTAGTATTTTCCTTCGGATTAATATCGGATAAATGCGACAAGCTCTGAGATAAATCTTGATACAGAGCAGGTATATCATCTCTGCGCTTCATAAATTTCTCGGCTTGATGCTCGCTCATCTTCGCCTTGGAGACTTTCACTTCACTATCGAAAACCACAAAGTCCTTTCCAGACAGGTCATTCAAATTATTCTCTTTCTTCTTGAAATTAGGCATTTGATTGACCGGCCTCGGAGATTCCGGTTTCTTAATTACATCCAGAAAGCTACCTCTCAGCTTAATAGGCGACTCGACTTCTTGTCCAAGTAAACGTAGGGGTGAACTGGCTGCTGTGACCTTTGTCGATCTAGTCGAAGGTTTAACCTGCTTAGTCTTGTTCTCCTGAACGTTTATCCTGCTAACAACAGATAAAGCAGTGTCCGATACAGTTCTATCCGAATGCGTGGTCAAATCCATCAAGATGCTTTGCAGTTTCGTAGAAAACTTCTGTTTTTGCTTAACGTTCCAATTGACCGCAGCATCCTTAAGAATCGACAATATGTCGTAGATCTGAAATAAACACATTTACATTGGATATCCCACATAATTTCATTTTAATATAACATTACCTTGTGAGGTTTCAATAAAGATTCGATACAATTAAGAAAGTTATCTCCTAAATCGAAATTCAGCCTGCATCGCAGATCTTCCAAATACTTGACATAATCCAAAACATTACACTTATCCACGACCAATAACGGATCCGAAATGCAAATTGCAATTAACTCTAAAAGAGTGTTCACTGCAAACAAATAAATTAGCAAAAATCTTATAATCATTAAAAAAAATCTTACTAAATGCTTCATCTTCGGAACTAATAGTTTTAACCAGGAGCAATGATTGATTCAAAATATGCTTATTTAACAATGGGTTCTTCTTCTGATAAGTCATCATCGTAGATAACATTTTTCGCTTAACATCAAGTTTACCAATCAGATCTACATTGAAATAATGGGCAAGCTGTAAAAGAATCATTATAAATATTTTGTTTATATATATTATTATAGAATTACGTTGTTGGCTTCGTTCAAAATAATCCAATCGAAACAAATCAAATACAGTCGTTTGAACAATTCCAGTTCATCTTTAAGCAACGTTGGATAATCTTTGGAACACGAAATTTTCTCCAATTGGTTAAGAGCGTAACTAATAATTTCGCTGTTAAAAAATGTTTGGCTCTTCAAAGTCTCCACAAAATCTATTAAATCCGTCAGGAATTTCACGTTCGTCCAATTGCAAAACTGAAGCATGTTTTTCAGGTAATCCGTAAAGATACATTCGGGTCTGAAAACAAATGTATATTAGTGTTTCTCGAAACAGAAGAATTCAAACGTTTCTCACATTTTTCCTGTTTTGTTTCTCACAGTGGAAATCTCCTTGATTATGGGTAAGATCAAATGCTCTTGGACTTCATCGATGCAATTGGTGGATTCCAAATAGTACAGCATCGTCGATAAAACCGTTTTCAGTACATCGTCAAAGTAGGTGTCCAGAGTTAAGCATTTCTGTAAAATATACATTTTGTATTAAAGTAATCAATGTAATATTTTAATTATTACCTGTATCATGATTTGCACATGTGGACAAATAGTTTTCAAACATGTTGTTGTCTGCTCTCTTGTCGTTTGTAACAGTATCTTGAACATGCTCCACCACAAACAATTTATCACCTGCAAATTAATCAATGTTTGCAACGTTTTCAATTGGAATCAGTTTCAATAATTACTGTTTCGGTTTCATCGTCCTTCGTCCAGTGCCAAGTCATATCGGTGCACATCCTCAGAGAAGCCACGAAAATCTCAATGTGAGAGCTTACGTTGTCTGAGTTTATAAGCGTATGAACCTTATAAATATCAGTCAAATTAATAGTCTTGTTCTTGCATTTGCAAGTCTCCTTCTCGTGTCCTATACGAACAAAATAATAATAAATTAAATCTTTGATTACGCTTATTCCAAGTTTCAGCAGTACCTAAAAACTTGAGGAATATTTCTGTGCTCTTCTGTTCGACCTCCCGGATTCCTTTGATCGGATTGACCGTGGCCGTATCCTCCGGAGTCACGGTTTCTGCACTCAAAGGACCAAAAGTGAACTCCAAGAAATCTTCGATGGTCGAGATCGAGTAATTCTCCAATTTCTCGATCAGATTCGCGTACGCTTCGAACCTCTTGATGCAAACCGAGATCTGCCTGGAAATCTTCGCTTTCAACGGTTTCGTCAGAAGCTTCACGTGCTTCCTTAAACACTTTGTATCAATACTGTAATTATTAGTTAATTCCTGAAATCAAATTTAAAACAAAAAGGTTAATATTGATGTAATTAATGAAATGATTAATTAATTGCCTTCCAACACTCGTACGAGCCGCATCTGTCTTTGGAATTTTTAGTCTTAAAGCCGACTTCGATCACACGCAGTATCGCGTTCGTGATTTCGGAATCGTTGTGCAATATCTGACCGGAATAGTGGATCAGCACTTTGCACTGCTTCCACCAGTCTTCATATTTTGTGCGTGTGGGATCCAACGTTTTTAGATAACTGAAGAAATATACAAAAAATATATTATTTGATGATCTTATCATAATATTAATCAAATAATTACGTATTTACGATGCGATTCTTGAACTCCTTGCACTCCTTTGGTGACATGAAACTGTAAGAGTAACCAATGGGACATCCCATAACCAGATCAATGAGATCGCTCCGTTTCTTGTCGGTCGTGTTTTCAGCGAAGATCTGCGGTATGACCCATGTGTGCAAGAACTGGTATGACACATTGTCCTTGTCGTTTTGACGATTACATTTTATCGCTCTCGATACCTGAAAACAACAAATACATCTTTCAGAAACAACCTTGTAAAATTAGTCATAGCCATTCCAACAAGATAAACCAATTGCATTCAACGTTTTATATCTATATGATAAAAGAAGTTAATGAAATTTACAAATTAAATTCAATTAATTACTCATTGAGGAAGTGTAATCAAAATGATTTAATTTCTTATCATATTTGTGAGTAGTTTATCTATATGAGAGGTCATCAGCAAAAGCAATAATTCAAGTTTACTGACCTCAGTAATATTTCTTTTATGATCATTTAAATGATGAATTTGAAATTGTTAAGTGCTTCCTTAATATTAAATGATGATGAAGCGAAATTAGTGTAATTATTGATATAGTTAAATAATCTAATTATAACTGTTGCATCAATCACATTAAACAATTTCCTTACCATCTCAGTGTCTGTTTTGTTCAATATACTTTCAAATATATTATCCACTTTCTGGTTGTCACTGCACAAAACGATCTGGAGCACTGCAAAGTTATACTTGATTTGTTCTATATCATTGTTCGTGGATCTGAGCAGGAATACATTCAGACAGGGATGAGCCGGTGCTAGTTCCCCATGCAACTTGATCAGCAAATCTTCGATGCTGTCAGTGATCTTGATCTTTGGCTTCAGCAGCTCCTTCTGCAGGGCTTCAATGTAAACCCTGAGTTTGTCCTCTGCAATTGTGCTGCACCTCTGGATGATTTTGGTGCAGTTCTCTTTGTTGCTTGCAGACAGGTTGTCAGCACAGAAGGTCCTCACGAACTCCTCCACGTCCTGTGTCATCTGCAAAGAAAACGAGAAGAAAAAAATTAAATAAGAACACATTAAATTAAAACGCACAACAGCCGTCTCGATCGTTAAGTTACCTTTGTACAATTGTGTGCAAGTTACGATTAAAAACAATTGAAAAGCAAAGCCTTCCAAAAGTGCTTACTTCGCTACCAAAGTGATTAATGCTTATACAAACAAATTCATTTGTTTCCAACTAGAAACACAGCAACACCGACTAAGTAATGTTATTGTGACAGGATCAGACTTGAAGCTTGACGCGAAGGATATTCCTCTTGTTGTCCTACTGACGTTATAACAAAAATTCGCGGGAAATATTTCAGGATTACCAACTGAAGCTGAAAAGGAAATTCCTATTCATTGAATCCTCTACATTTTTGCGCAATTTCGTGCATTTAATCAACTTGGCGCTATCTCAGAATGCTTTTCATCAACCTTGAAACTATCTTTATACTTTTATAAAAGAAATGTTTGTTATTCCAACGTCTCTTATTAATTAATTCCTGAGCGACAGAAATATGGAGCGCTTTTCATACCACATAAAATTCCTTATAAATGTTTCATTTCAGTACTTTACAAAGAAATTCCATCAAAATTAACAAAACTACAAACCTCTTTTCATTGTTGTTATTAATAAATCATCACTTACTTAGACTTTATATTATTTCATAACTCAAATCTTTGAGTATTTATCTATGAGTATATATAAATAAGAAAATATGTTTTTATCTTGGGTAAACATTAACATCACTAACACTTTATTAGTTAGAAATGCAGTTTGAAGAAATAAATTGTTGTTACAAATACTTTTATAGAAGTTTAGAAAAAAAAAAATGTTTCTTCTAATAGTCAAGAAAAAACTTCAATATTCCGGAAAACAATAAATCAATGACTGACAATATTATTGGTTTCCATAAAAACAGGTAACCAATGTATAAAAATGTTGTTATATAATCAGAAAGTTTATGCTTAATTTTTAACTAGTCATTAGTTCTTTATCAATTGAGAGAAAGACACTTATTTGCCTTTAAACAAATATTATGCAGCGTACGCGTTTATTACTTAATACGTTTCCTTATCAAGCTGTATCGGCCCATTACGCAACCAAACAAATAATAGTTTAAAAAGACACGCACAGGAAACAGTAGATACCTAAGTATGGGGGTCTCGATTGTTACACGTAATTAAAATTCGTATCGGATCAAAAACCGGACCTAATATTACGCACGAAAACGTGCCTAAAATTTGTCTAATAGTTTTGTAATTAAACAAACTTTTATGTAATTTCTAGTAACAATAATTTATATAAACTAAACAAAATTTTATATACATTTTTCTTCATAAATTACTTGACTTTTTTTATTATTTACAAATACAAATTTGATTAATGGAAATGGCTTACCCATGATGTAAAATCCAATAAAAGTATACTTCTAAGATAAGGCAAGGATCTCACAGTTTTCAGCAAAAATCTAATGTTATTTATAGATAAACCACACGCGACGTATTTGAATCTTAATCGATGCGACCTGTACTGCCTGCACTCGCTAAGAGACCTAAAACAAAACTGAGCGCACCTCCACCTCCGCTGTTCCGTGAATGTCCGTAATCAATTCTATTATTTGAATAATTCAAATTCATTAGAATCACGATTACTTATCAGTATAACCAACATTGAAAATGCAACAAATTGAACAATTACTGAAAATTATTATATTTCCAATTCATTGTTTCAACTACAACTGAACTGGAGTTTACGATTATCAAGAATTATGAAAACTTTGTGATTTTCGTCGAGTTTATTCAAATCAGAAAATTTTAATGTTTAATATGTCTAATTCAAATCTAAATTATTGCAAAACAAATTGATCTTTATAATTAATATAACATTTTTATAATAAATACAATTATTACAGTATTATTGAATTAACTCAAAATTTAATTACAAAGTATTCATGATATATTAATTAAATAATTATAAATGTATATATGGTGATCTAATTAGTTTGAGTAGTTGTATAAAAAATATACTGAAAGAATAGGATTTTCAAAGGATAATTATGTATCAATGCAAGACAGTGATTATAAAGATTTATTTGTTCATAATAGTTTGTACGTTTGTTAGTTAATTTCAAAATTTAAATTAATTTACCGCCCAGTCGAATATCCGATGGTTGCGCCATCAGCAGTGACCAAAGCAAACTATAGATATTCCATGAGCCTTGGTTCTTTAATTCACAATAAACAAAGGTAAATATATACAAAAGAAACTTTTACAACAATTGTATCTAATATAAAAGTTTTAGGTAAAATGAAGAAAATCAAGTTCAATGATGTAATCAAAGAAGAGGTGGTTCAAGAGACTAAAAGAATATCCTTAAGAAGAAATAATGATGAGGATGATGATGATGACTTCAATTTATCAAATGATATCCAGCAAAGTCTTAGCAAACAATTATCATTGAATCTGGATAATTTGCTGGAGGATATGCTTGTTCCAGATTTGACAACAGTAAAGGATAAAGGGAAATCATTTGATGGTGTGAAGTTGTTGAGTGTATCGGATAAGTGTATAAAAGTGAAGAGTGCCAAAGCTTTGCAGAAAGAGCAAACGGAAAATGTGCTGAGGAGAAAAAAGAGACACATGGCTGACTTGGAACTTGATCCAGATCAGTATGAGAAATGTAAATTGGTGGCTGTTAGTTATCAAGACATTGTTGAGAAGAAAGATGTGCAATTTTGGAGTAATCAGACTAAGGCTAAAGTGTTGAAATATAAGAAGGATGATAAAGGAGATTTAGTTTTACAAGAGGATCCTTTTGTATCAATAAATTATAAATAAAAATAAGTCTATTTATTAAATCAAACATAATATACTTGTATTTTAAAATTACTTAATTCACTAGATAAAAAAACAGCTTTAAGCCTTATATAAGTCTTCCCACTATTGATTGAATTAAAATTGGCCGTTTTAACTTGATGCGTTTATTTAAAATTATTAATTAAACAGATTTCTGAAGTACAATCTAAAATATTGATTATATATAGTTAAATATTAATGCAAGATTGGATTGATTTCATCACGTCTTCAAAAATACTATTGCAAAACATTACATTTTATGGAATCGTTTATACTAAAATTGTTTGTCATAACAGTTTGAACCTTTTGGAAAACATGCTCATTTTAATCTTATGATTGTTCGTTTTGTTTTAATTTGTTGTTCTAAAAAATAACTCTTTTGCTTTCGTTTACTATAAAATAAATTAGTTTTGATCAATTAATTAGAAAGTTATTAAGCTTTAATGAGTTTCGCGAATCAAAAACACATATTTAGGAAACAATCTGCAACCACACTTACAGACTATTTCCTGTAAATTCCGACAGATGTGTCTGCTTGTCATAATTAAAATGTATATAATTCGAAATCTAATTAGTATTTTAATTATTAGACGAAAATAATAACATTACATTTGTTCAAACATTATTTTGACATGTTTATTTATTAAAATTAGAACGTTTTAAAGGAAGTGGATTTTGTGCAGCGCCAAAATTGCTGAACTACAACATTTGTACTATTTCTAACAGATGGAGACAGCTGTCACAAAAAATGGAATATTTATTTGTACCTAAAGTGCAGGCAACCAAACATACATATAAACTTTGATGAACAAATAGAAAAAACAACGTCTTAGATAATGGCCTGTATTTTCGTAGACATGAACTCCCAGAAGAAAACTATATATTGATGTTAATCTTGAATATACATGGATTAAAATGGGCTCCAATATTAATTTGTATCTGCAATGGTGTCTTCATAATTGATTAACAAACTTTGGTATTTCACAAATAAGTTGGGAAAATAACGTCTTCGAAAATGGCATGCATTTTCGTATACACCAGCTCCCAGAAGAATGTTAGTCATGGATGTTGATCTTGAATATACACAGATTAAAATGAGCGTACATATACGTTTGTAACTGCAATGGCGTCTTCACAATTAATTAACAAACGTTGGCTTTTCACAAATGACACATGGAAAAATAACGTCTTCGAAAATAGTCTGTATTTTTGTATACACGCGCTGCAAGATGAATGTTGGACATGTATGTTGATCTTGAATATACATAGATTAAAATATGCTTAAATGCATCTTTGCAGGTACCATATCTTCGTCACAATTAATTATCAAACTTTTGTATTAGACAGTTATGAAAACAACGTTTTCAAAAATGGCCTGTATCTTCGTAAGCACTTGTTTCTAGAAGAATGTTGAACATGAATGTTGATCTACAGAAAACTAAAGCCTTTCCAATGAGCTAACTGCCGGCAATGTAGTTTGGTCAGTACATCTACTATAAGTTATCAAAATTAAGCATTTTAATATCATTCTCAATTCAATTTGGCGAGATAATTGTATCATCAACCACATCAACTATTGGCATCTTCGTGCTGTCGTCGAGTCGCCTGAAATTGGAAAAAAAGTGAATATAATTTTCTTAAAAATCGCTGTTTCGATAAGACCCGACTAGTTTTTACGTAACTTTTGTTGCATTTGATGACTGCGACATCATCAGGTTTCCTTTTTTATAATTGTGCTATGTTTTGTCCTTATTAAGAAACGGCTTCAAAATTATTAGATAATAATAAATAATAATCAAAATAATTAGTTTACTTTTTGTGTACTAATAGTTTAGTGAAGAAGGGATAAAATTGGCAATTATGAAATAAAATCAATTTGCGTTTTTACATAAAACATAATATTATAAAATACATTCTTTGGTTACAAATATGAATAAAAAGTCTATACAAATATACAATATTAATAAAAAAAAAATATTGCGTTCTTTCGTGTGCTTAATATAAATGTGTGTGTGTGTGTTAAAAACGTTACAATTGCACTCGATAAAATGTTTACCATGTATCAAAATAAGAACATCAATATTACATATAATACTCTCTATATCTAATATAGTAATTACAATGACATGGCACTTGCGGTAACTTAATAAAAAAAATATCACCTAAAATCCGAAATTTAGCACTCTGCGACATCAAACAGGTTAATAAGGTACATACGATGCTTACGGACAGAGTAAGCATAATTGTAAATTTTGGTAAGAGATGATGATCATGCCTTCTTTTTCTTCGGCGGTTTCGGCGGAGGCGTCGGCGGTTTAGCACCGTTCTCCTTTTCGGCGATGTGCAGCAGATTCTTCGCGTACATCACGCTGTTGAGCTCGTTGATCGTTTGCGTGACGTTCGATGATAGTACGTTGATGTTGTTGAAATTGGATTCGGATTCGCGGAGTTTCATAGGAAGCGGAGGTGGTAGATCCTCTTCGCTGACGCTAGAATCTGTCGTTCCTAAAGATAAGCATTATTGTTTCTAATCTTGTTGATGGTTGAACAGGTATTATTTTACCTATGGAATCTCGGTTGCTGCTCGTCCCCGAGCTGCTCGCAGCTCTCATGGTCAGCGATAAGCTGGATGGTCTGGAAGAGTATTGGCCGCTCGACGGTCTGCTCAGTCTTTTCTCTTTCTCCACTTCCGAACGTAACGGTCGCTTGGAGGTCAACTGAAGTATTAATTTTTAAAGTACGGATAGGTTTTACTTGGATTGGAGATGGTGCTTACCTCTTGCCGAAGTTCGATGACCGGAGTACCGCCGTTCGAGATGTTGTTGGTGACGGTGTTATCGGCTTCAGGTGAAGCCATGTACCATTGGGCATTACCAGTACTCGTGATGGAGTCCGTTTTACTGGACCTCCGTTTATCCTTCTGCGATTTGCTTTTCTTAATGGTCGGAGAATGAGAGAGGCTTCGCGACGGCGAGAGCAAAAGGCTCTTCGTGCCGGGTGATGATAATTTGCTACACAGACAAAATAATTCACAGGGAATGTTGAAAACAATACATGAAGCGAACGTTGGGGGGGGCGAACTCCTTCTTTTTGGTCGATTTATTGCATTAGTTAGTCACTAAAAGTTAAATTAAACCAGTCCCCCACGAACAAATAATATTAATACGTAACCTTAATAACTTAAACTTATGAATATTAATAATGCGTGTGTTTTTAATCCTAAACTAATTAACTAAATGGCTCATTGTTATCGTGTACATTGAAAAAAAAAGGGTTAGTCAATGGTGTTATGTCTAATTATAGGAGTGCGGATGAGTGTGAGTCCATTTTGTGACGACCGTCTGCAAAAACAAAACGTTAACATATATAAGTTAGTAAGAATTTTTTTGTGGATCGGCAATGCCTCGTGCGTAAGCCAAAAACAATTTCAAGAAATGTAAAAAAAAATACTGGGAATCTATTGTACAAATTGGGGGGACAAGCTTCAAACAAATCATATAGCCAAGCCGTTCAAAACGAAACTTCTAAGCACTCAATTTAACAAAAAAAATAGATAAAAAAGAAAAATTTCCAAAAAGGATACGAACCTGGCGTTATACTGAGACGGAGACGTTAAATTTAACGTCAGATTTTTAAACGAAGTTACTTGCGATCTCGTTAAGCTTGACACGCGACTTCTAGTCACGTTATTACTACTGAAGAATAAAGCAAAAACAAAAAAAAATATGTAAATACAAATAAACACCATTAATTGTTGTTTTGTTTGTTCTTTCGTAAATTAATGGTCTCTCTTTCAATTAAAATATTTGAAATAGAAATGCATGTTGCATTAAACGTTTCTCGCAGCCCTGTCTGCTCCACTAAACCCATTCTCTTAAATATAAATCTAATGAAAATAATGAAACACCAAGACCAAACACTCTCCAAACAAATTGTAAGTAATAAAAAAAAATATTAACACAAATGCAAGCATTAATTACGACACTTAATGGATTTCCGTACATCAACTATAAATCCTCGATCTGATAAAAACATTATCTAATTTACAAATTAGTTGAGATTTTTTAAATATTATCACTTACTCGATTGGTATCTCGGAAGACCTAATGTCGTCGATGTCGCTCGGATGTCTTCGGAAGGATTCCGGACTGATTTCCAACTTTAAATCGTTGCATGTCTGTAATAAAAAATCAATTGCAAAATTTGTTAGAACTAACAATTATATCTGATAATAAATTATGTTGATTAATTACTAAATATATTGTTTCACTTACCCTTGCACCGTACTTCTGTCGGATTTCTTCTCTCATAACGGCCATGCGCGTTTCAAGAAGTCCTTGCAACGGATGCAACATCTTCGGTGCATGGAATTTGTGCACTTCGACGCACAACTCCAATATTGGCACCTGATCAGCAATCAAATCCTTGAGTTTCTCCAACTGCTCGGAATCCTCCGGATGCACATTCTCATACTCCTCTGTGAAGAAGGTGTTCTCGTAATTCTTAATGCCGCCCATCACGGCCGGATCCAGGATTCCTTTTAGCTTCAAACTCAAAGGATTCACCTGCGCCTGTTTCTCGCAATTGTACTGCACGAAGAGAGCCCTCAGATCCTGGTTGGCTTTCTCCATCGTCTCGATGGCATTCGTCAACGGTGAGATTTCGTACGTCTCGAGGCTCTTCACGGGAAACCAACTGAGAATGTGAGGTAACGAGTGTTCGGTCACCAGAACCGTCCTCTCCAACCACATGGTCGCAAACTCGTTGTCATTTTCGATTAGAGGATCTTTCCTTTTGAACCTCCTGGAGTATTGGAATTTATCGACGTGATTCACTTGATAGAACTGAATGATTTGATCCGAGACGACCTTTCCTTGGAATCTATCGTTCAACTCCATCATGGGCTTCACGCTGTTAATCTGAAGATCTATAAAAACATGTTATATAAGTATATCGAAATAAATACTAAGTGCAGAGATTACGCACATTGATCTTTGGAATTTTTAATATCATCTGAAGGCGGCGTGAGCTTAGTGAGCAGCTCCGCCTTCGGAAATTCGTTCATTATCCTCGAGCTGAAATCGCCTAACCTCTCGTACGATTTCCCTCTGTAGACGAACACCTTGTTCTGCAGGAATTTCGGGAATCCGTAACCGTAATAGGCAACGCGAAAGTATTCCGGCTTCGGTCGAACTTGCTTCATTATGTTATCGTAGTAAAGAGCCATGCGATTGTGCAATTCGTGCAACCGATCGTAATCAAAGGTCTCCTCTTCGTATTGATTACCCAACTCTTTACACTTCTCCAAAGCACATTCCCACATCTAAATTCAAATCATTGTTTAGATCCAAACAAACTAATAAATTAAAATACGTACCTTTCCCTTGTTATAATTGTCGATGATTTTATAGTAAAGCAATTCCTTCAATTGCCTGTGCGTTTGGGCATCTCGATGTTTGCTGCTCTTAAGCAAAGGCGGCAAAATCTCATTGGACCAGTTCAATAAATTCGAGTGCAGCTCCAAGGTGTACGCAGCTTCAGTGAAATTGTCGCATTGCAAATGCAGATCGTACAACTTGTGCACGTAACGGATATACATTTCTTTCCTGTTGATCTCGGAATAGAAATCCAGCAAATTCACGATGCAGATCATCCGGTTCTCCTTGTTTTCATCGTCGATGATGTTACGATACTGGAGCAGTCTCTCCATCAAACTGGTGACTACAGTTACGAAAATTACACCTCTTTCATTGAGCGATGCATGCTGAGAGCAGTGGTCGTACATAATCTCTTGGAAGAGTAACTTGTAGTTCTCATCGCCACGACCACCTTCGAAGAGCGCATCCAGCTTGGCTATAATCTCGTTTTCGAATTCATCAAAGTTTCCTTTAACGTTCTTAGAATTTCTGATGGTATCCCCGAAGCTCTCAAATTCCACTGATGATGAGTAATACTCGCATTGCATCATATCGAAGAATATGGGTATGCTCGCTTTTCGCAATTCCACTTCTGGTAGAAGCGTCATTTCGAGGATGTTCTCAACTAAACCGGGCACAAATTTCCTTTTGTACTGACCCAAATTGAACCACATGGATCTGATCTCGAAGCCCATCTCGCGTCTCATATCCTTGTACCTTTTAATAATACGACTCCTCTTATCGCAGGTGAAAGATTCTAATTGCAACGAAGGTTGCGTCATGAAGGCAATGGCGCAATGGAAGAAGTTGCTCCACGCTTGCTGCTCGAACTTTTCAAAGAACTTATCTCGAATCGTGTACGAGAAATAGCGCAACGCTTTCAGTATCACAGAATTCTGCAGCATAATCATCTCGCACCAGTCCTGCGGGAAGATCGACAGATTGACTAGCTCCTTGAAGATCATAAGGATCTCCATGAGGAAGTCGAGGATGTCCGTACTGGTTCCAAATGCGTTTATGTAATTTGAGTAATGATTATCCTGCATCTGCCGGAATATATCGATCATGATAGCGACTAGGTTTTTCTGTAAAAAGCGACAACGTTAAAGCCTTCAGAAGAATCGAACGGAAATGTTGGTATTATTACAGCAAATGGATTCTCCTTGTCCATTTTTATGTAGCTTTGACTGATCGTACGTAGATTCGTACGTATGATCTCACCGATGCTCTCATCCGTTTGGTATCCCAGCATGTTGTTCTCGTCGTACGACTGCCGTCTGTCGCGGAACAGCAGATCCAAAATATCGTCCATTATTTTAATGCAAAGCTCCATCTAAATGTTTGCAAATAAAGTGTTTCCATGAAAGTTATTTAATTACTCAACCAATTGCAGTTTCTAAAAGAACTTTACAAACTTTGCAATATAAAAAAAAAACAAGATTTAAATAAAATCCTTACGACCAAAATGGAATAAATCAATTAAAAAAAAATATACAAAGTTTGCAAAATCTTCTTTAGACTAATTTAATGAGCGAATGAAAGCAATAAAAATTAAATGTTGTATTTCCATATATGCTAAAGTATGTACAGCATAGAAAATCTATTATTTTTTCAAAAGAGAATAATAATTTTAAAAGGAAAAATTATATGAAAGCGTATAAAATCTAAAGTTATTTATTTTTACTCACTGTAGATGTTCAATCAAAATTAAGTTAATTAGCTTAATTTAGAAGCTATTATGGTTTTAATAGAAGCCAAAATACGTCGGAATAATTAGTACTAAGCGTCAAATTAATAATTTCGTGATATGGAAAAAAAAATATGTGTCGATTAAATAATAATTGAATTCATACTTCGAATATTGATTTTTTTTCTTCTTTGTTCTGTGTTCGAAATACATATCTTAAATAAATTTATAGAGAATGAAGAAATAACAAAAATATATTGTTTTAAATGAAATTTTAATTGAAAATAATTAAGCTTTATTAATTAACTAATTAATTTATAAAGCTTAGCCTCTCAATTATTATTTTTCAGATTTATTAATAAAAATAAGAAATCTCTAAAGTTTCTTTTGAAAACTATTAGAGTATCTTGTAGTGGATGAAATCGTGATATGTGATAACTACTGTTTTCAATTGATTCTGTGAACTAAGACAATTTTGTAGGTAAAATTTGTAACGATTTCTTGTCATTTCTTCACTCAGTGGTAATGAGAAGATGAATGATAGAAAAAAAAAATAATAAAAAAAGGTAATAAAAACCATGCTGTTAGTAAATAACCTCGCTAATGAAATTGTAGTTCACCTCTTCGGAATATCCCGTGTGTTGATTAATGCACTGTTTCGTTTCTCCAAGCACTCGAGCCACCTTGGCCACATTATGTTTGTTTATGCGACGGTTCGTCGGCATCCCACTCACAACACCCTATAATATCATACGGCAAAACCCCCAAAAAAATTCGCATTACATCTCATGAACACAAAAAGTAAGTTACAAAAAAAAAATAATAATATTATGATACTGCTAACACCAATATTAGTAACAACTCAAAATGAAATAAAATCGGGCCTCTCTATCTCAGCGAGAATTCCAATAAGTTTTTTAGGATTAATAACAAATTTTAAATAAAATCAATTAACAACAACATTTTTTATATACAGGTAGTTCCTCCTTTAGAAATTGACTCATTTCAGTCGTTATTTTAATCCGGATTTGGAATTCGCAAAACCGGAACTACCTGTACTTAAAAAAAAAGATAGGTGCACATGTTCTTTTCAGACAATAAAACTACGTACCTTTTTTCATAAAGAAAAGGGCTTAAAAATACGTGCGTCTTAAAAAATCATTTAAAAATGCTGTAGTTATACGAAATTTGCCAATATTAGTACAAAGTAAATATGGCATATTTATATGTAATTTTGAAGAAGAAAAAAACATGTAAACGCATCTTAACTGAACCAATGACTTAAGTTTACTTTGAATTGAAAGTGAGTTAACTGAAATCATTGGTTTTGAAACACCAAAAAAACAACGGAAATTATTAGAGAAAGAAAATATTAAATGTCCGATTCCAAAATGAAATATTTAAAAATATAAATATAACCTGAATTAGTTGGATATTATATTAAAAAAAAATACGAAGAAACATGTAGATATTTTGTCCAATTCTAATCAATTGAGATTAGGAGAACAAATACAGATGTAAAAACATAAATTTCCGGTAATTCCATTCACTGGACAACCGAAAGAAAGTACATGAAATAAGTAGTTACATGGACACATTTAATAATTTTGTTTCCAAAATAATCCATACTTACTGGAATACTAAAATACCTCTGCAAACAATAATCATAACAATAAAATAAATAAATAAATAAAAACAACTATGTTCAAACTAAATCTAGCACATGCACTATATATATATAAAAATATAAATAAATTGAAACTTTTGTACATGCGGCATGCCAACAAGAACACAGAACGAATAACATTTATTGAAGACGCTTTACATTTGAATGAAGAAAAAAAATGATCAACTAAGATGTACTGTAATTAATGTAAAACGTCTTCGGTGAAAAGAAAATAAAAATCAAGAGGTGAGCAACCATACGGAGATACATACGCAAGACGTTAATTTATAATAATGTGGTGATTTGTTTTCGTGTGGCCAAGATAACTCTGTGCACAGGAGGAAGAACACATAAATAAATATATAGACAATGGAATTAAGATATATACACATAAAAAAACAACAACAACAAACACAAGACGAGTGAAATAAACAAGATTTTATCCGTTTCGGTGAAGATACAATAACAAAAATTAGTAATAATATTTCGTTTCTAAAATACAAAAATAAGATTTTTTTTTTTGTCTTCAGAACGAATTATTATTATTATTTGAAATTATGCGTGAAATTATATACAGATTTTCTGAGCATTTACATGCCTTTATACATATATAGTTAATTCAAACGAAAAAGAAAAAATTGGAAACCAATTAATCCTTTCTTGGTTTGAATTATATGTGAATTTAACGATTTTGAACAAACAACACAAATTTTTGTACAGAAGCGAATAGCATAGAAAGATAACGATTTAACGATATGTAATTCAATTGAATATATTCATGTGCAGTGCTAATTAAATTTATAATTAAAAAATAGTGTAAATTGTAAGAGTGATGCTGACTTACCTCCTCGTTCTGCTCGAAGAGCGTTTTTATTTGCTTGGTGAAGATCGGCAGGAGTATCTTCCGACATTCCTTGTAGCAAAATAGTTTACTGTGAACTATCTCGTTCATCGTCATTATCTTCTGTTTGGTCAATCGGTTCATCGGCATCTCTTCCAGGAGTATACCTAACGTTCGACTAGAAACAACAATTACTAGTGAAATTACTATACTTAAGAAAGCTTACCTAAGTTCGATTTTATCGAAGATCAGCAGGATGTCCGGTATCGTGTTCGGAAGATATTTCAAGCAGGCGCCTTGCTCTCTCAACAGTTGCTCGGAAGATTTGCACAGCTTGACGATGCTGTTGAGCAATGCCTGCATACTGTCGTTAAACTCCTGCTGATCCTGGACCTCATCGAAGCTCCCGTCTTTGTTCAACTCCAAGTACAGCAACCTCGATCTGGCCACAAACCTCATTATATACTGCATGCTCTTCATCGTGCGGAAGACCAGCTGTGTATCTTCCTGAGGATCAATGATTAAATCGTGAAGCACTTTGATCAACTTTTTGTAAGCCAAAGTCGCCGAAAAGCTCTCTTTAATATACAGGTCCAAAACAGGAACGAAATGTTGGTATTTCCAATCAGTGTTTATGATGTTGATAACGTGCAGAAGGCAGTTGAACACCTTTTCGTCGTACGTCGTAGTCTGCGCGTTCTCCATCAACACTCCGAAAAGCGTGTCGAGAATGTCCTGAAGAAATTTCACGATCTCATCACCATCGACGGCTTTCAGTTTATCCAAAGAATCGTTCAACGATTCCTTCTGCGCCGCCCAATTCAACAATCCCAAAAGGTTAACTGAAATCATCAAATTTAATATTATTATAAGTTTAAATTTTCCTGCTGAATATTGTACCATTTTGCGTCAGTTTAGTTGAGCAAATATTACTCGAAATAGTAAAGCTATCTTTCGTGCTCAACATTAATCCGTTGACTTGTTTCGGACACATCGCAGTTTCTTCTTGCGTTGAAGCCAGATCCAAATAATCGATGCTGTTATCATCGAATTTCTTATGATCCATCTTATACACCAATAGATTATGGTTTGAATCCTTAAGCGTCGTTCCATCCATCTGCAGAAGCTTCACGAAAGACATGGCAAAGTATTTCTCGCTCTTGTCCTTCACCTCGTTGGAAGACCGATGTTTGAAGAAGAACTTGATGTGAGACTGCTTGAATTCCTCTATTGGAATTGCCACCTTCAGAGTTTCGTGCCATTGCGGTTTATCCTCGTGATAGTAAATAACTGAATGGTATTCGCTGGACGACGGTACTCCTCCACCTTTGAAGATCACGTTCTAAGGAAACAAATTACAATTAAATTAAATCAGCAATTATTCATAATGATATTTCAGTTATAATTACTGGTATAGTTTCGCCTTTTTTGTTGCACACTTTGACGATGACTTCGACGTTCTTATCGCTCGTTTTATTTCCTTTCGGGAACTCACCGCAAAGCAGAGTCAAATACAAATCGTTACGCACGTCCCCTGGCAGGATGACTTCAGGAAATCCCATTTTCCTGGCTATCGCCACATTGCCTAGAACCAAATGCGGATTTTCCTCTCTGACCTAATCCAAAAGAAATTCATTACTATAGATTACAAAACTAATAGTAACTGGGACATCCTCTTACCTGTTTCAGATCTCCGTGTAATAGTTTCATGCTTATAAACAACGATTGATTCTTATTATCGCTTTTACCATCCTCCTTATTCGTAATTTTCCTCAAAGTTTGTTCGAGATTATCTTTATCGCAACTTGAAAATTTCAAACAATATATTAGAGCTTAATATGTAAAGGAGCGTTAATTAGTTACTTGTAAAATGGCACTGAAAATTCCTGCTCAAGATCGGCGTCGAATTTGCCGTTTAAGAAAATAGTCACATCTTTCGCGGCAACACCTAACGGTCGTCGCATTCCCTCCAGTTTTTCCTTTTTTAATAGACTAGCAGTTGAACTTCTCCTGGAGTGATCTACAGTATCTTTGTTCTCTAGCACACCAACCCGCACAGCATAGCACACTAAATAAATCTTCTCACGTTCCAAATCTTTTTTACCCAAATCCTACATAGAATATCACAATTATTAAATAAGTTAAGAAGGAATAAAAATTATCTACTTACAGTGAACATTACGCGCAGATTATTCATCCTGTCAATTTCCTTCATGAGTCCTTCCTTGGACCAATGTACAATATAGTTTTCCGTGATCGCTTTGTTCTCCTTCATATCGTACAAGAACATGAGAAGCTCGGAATCCTCGGACACTTTGCAGGTGAAGTTTTTCACTGACACTATGAATATGTGCGAGTATTGCTGTATCACCGAAACCGTGTGCTCTTTGGGCTCAGTCTACGTAACAAACTATTATTTAATAACCTTATTCTACTGCAGAAATACCGTAACAAATACCTTAGGTTCGCTAATTGAATCCGCGGCGTTCTTGTGGTACCGATACAGTTGTATCGTACTCGTCTCGTCCGGATTAATAATATTGCCATCTTTGTCCCTAACAACTAAATCTAATTGTAACGTTCTGTTCACAGTCGCGATCTTTTCGCAAACCTCTCTGGTCACCTTCTTCAGCTCGTCCACCGGTAATGTACCGCTCGTTATTTGACTACGGTAGTTTATCAATTCGTAGATGGAAGACTTTATCGTCTCGAAGTGCGCTCGATTCGTCTGAAATTGCAATAGTTATTATCACATCGTCTCATCATCTCATTATTAAATCTTCATACAATATACAGATTCTTCCACAACGTGCTCCATTCCCTGAGGACTTGCGTGATTTCCTGCACGATGGGCAATTGATCGACGAATTGGAAATTTGTCGTCGGATCCGTCTGATCGATCTTGCATCCCAAGACTTTGACGTAGTTCTTTGGGATGATGCCCTTGCTACAGGTCTGCCGTATGTTGTATCCATAATACCAGTCGCTTTCCTCTTGCAGCAGATGGAGTGACTCGCCCACGTTCACATTCAACTTCGCATCGTCCTCCGACTTGAACGTGTATATTACTACAAGAAAAGAAAAAAAAGCATATTACAGTTAAATTCTTAAAAGTCGAAAACCCTTAAATTTATTGTAGGGACAATAAAACCCAAGACGTGTCCATTCACAATACTCGTACAACACAAAAAATACCACCAGTTCATACCTAGAAGCGTTCTTTCCTTTATTTTTGATTTACCTTCTTTTCAATGCAAACACATTGTTAAAAAATATACAACGTGGGATTATTTGTAATAATTTTAGAAAAAGAATAAATAAAACGTAAATGTGGTTTTTATTGCATTTATTTATATAATTGTTGCAATTAAACCATAATAAATATAAGTGTTATGTGAAAATGTAATTCAGTAGAACATTGACCGTGTTTGTCCATTAATAAAATTGCGAACGAGCGAAATTCCCGAGTGTCATGTAATAAGCGCGTTTAGTAAGTAATTACTGCGGTCTTGTAAATCCTTCGAATAAAAAAAAATATAAGCAAACAATGGAAAACTTATGGGAATTTTATAAGATTTGATGAAATGCAATACGCAACATATATTTGTTTTTTGTTGAATCTCGCAGAAATTCGATACAACCAATGGAAAGAATATGCGTATATTCTTGAATCGAAAACACAGTTAACCGTGAACGGTAAGCTTGGTATGCAAACGAAGACCATAATGGTAATTAGGTGGGCGTTGTTTTTGGCGAAATACCTAGCGAAAGCAGAAAATAATAATGAAATCATATATTTTCGGAACTTTTATGCATTATTAATACTTGTTTTTTTTGTTATTATTTCATGTTGTTCCTCTCTACATGACATAATAGTGGACCACGCAAAAGCGTCGTTTCGCCGCTCGCGTTATGTAACCAGGCGTAATTATATTCACTAATTGCGTGCGGCCGGGAAACATCGCGATGATCATCATCATCATCATGAACATCAGCGGCATGTAAAGAGGATGTTTAAATTATTTATGTGTTTGTTCCCCAGTGGCCGACCGTCGGTCGACCCCTTTTTTTTTTCCTACTTTGTTTCCTTTTTTCCACAGTTCCAGGCTAATTTTAAGAGGCCGGGCCTGTTTACCCAATGGGCCGACCAATATTTATTTACTGATATCGCCAAGTATCTGTGATGATGAGATAGAAGTAAACACCATCACCGAATCCCGAAAATACTGCATAGACGTAAATATATATATTATATAAATAGGTGGTTGGATTGTCTTAGACCCAATTTCAGTAACGCACGCAATGATTCATCATCGGTCCGGTTCGAGTTAATTAACCCCGAGATAATTGCAGCTAATGAAGAGCTGCAAACAAAACTTAATTATTAAAATTATTCAATTCGCACCGAACGAAGTACGTCAGGACTCTCTATGGCTACGCCTGATAAGCGTACTTCCTCGAGTGTATTGATAAGAAATCCCTCCCGATTGCAGCAGCGGTGATGATGATATTATTCGGTGTACATGCAGCTTTTTCCGGCAATTAGCATTGCAAATCCGGACAAAAAAAAAACTAAATTATGCAACTATTCTCCTCCGTATCGGGATTTGCAACAATGCGGCCTTTGTTCATCTTCAATTGGCCAAAAAAAAAAAATTTGTATGCATGCATTTCCGGTAACATCTCTGCATAATTTCGCTTCGATCATAACTTCCATATATATATCGATCGATTCATTTCGTTTCGCATACATAACGCACAGTGTAATTGTAATAATTGGTAAAGGCAACAAACGGTTATTGTTATTTGAGAACGTGGTCCCCCCTATTCTCGTTTTTATTTTTGAATTACGTATGCGGGACGCGCGAAAGCGCACCTACACAAATATTTCCAGCCTTTCTCACGATCAATTTCCGCGCATATTTTCGTTTTGCATCCCGGAGAAACTGGAAATACTACAACACACTTTTCGCCTCGTTTACATATACAAAATAAATATATGACGAAGAAACAAATAAATAAATAAATAAAATGCAGCTGCGCTATTTATACGACCGCATTTGACGCGCTTACAAACACAAAACGGGATTCAGAAAAATAGTCATAACAAATCAAGGATTTTCATAAATTTTCGGAAACTAGTAATAACATATAATTCGCATCATTTTACATAGATAAATCGACTTTGAATTGTGTAAAATAACATATTTTGGTCAGCCGAAATTAAAAATAATATAAAATATTTCCTTTTTATATAGAAACATTTTCGTTGCCGATGAGTAATTCATTTTGATAAGAATTGGTAAATTCGGTTTACTGCGTGACTCGACTGTGATTGTACAATTGTATGGGAAATGTATTTATATGTTATATAAAAAAAAATGAGTTGAAGAGGAACGGACATTAATAAAATTACCTCTAAATGCTTATTACTCATAATCGATTTTAAACTTGAATTGTTGTTTATTATTAGCAATGACACGAATTTTGCAAATCTAAGTTTCTTTTGTAAAAATCGAATGGGAAGTATCGTCCCACTCTTGCATTTATTTTTGGTATTAGTAACCTTTAGCAGTGCCAATTACATTCTGTACATCTTGTAAACGCAAGACTTAGTCTGGCAAGTGATAACCGTGTTTATTACAGATAAGATTCGATTATTTGACTAGTACAGAGCCGTTAGCTTAAGAAAACTTACTTATCGCAAGTGCTGCATTGTGTAGAGGGGTGTCGCTAAGGCACATCTTGAATGTCAGACCTCGACACGAAAACCTGAATATTCTCGGTATTTTCCGGTACTATTGGAATAATCTCAACGGCAAATACTATTTGTGTTCATATAAAATGTTCCTCTTATAGTTCTAATTATATCTTGATCCTCTTAAACATATTTAGAACTACATCTTAAGAAAAATGTTATTTAAACTATATGCAAACAAATTAAATGTTTACGTTCATATTAAATGTTTTCTGTATTGAAAGTTTTAAGGAAACTATTAAATTATGATGAAATTAGTACATAAATTGAAAAAAAAAAACATAATATTAAATAACAAACAACAAATTCGGTTTTAAATTACCGTAAGTTTGTGATTCGCAGATATGTAAACAATTGACAATAGGTAATTTACCTTACAATTCAATTAAACGTTTACTTTTTTTGTTATTTTTCAGATAAACCATATTATCTATGGAATGTGTACAAAATTATATACAAAATTACAAATGATTACGTCCAATTGGAAACGATGCGAAAAAAAAAAGTTACACATATTTACGTAATTAAAGTCTCATTACAGTAGGCGCTATTAATCTGCTACCGATAAGTGACAAGTGCAAAGTATAAGCAATTATTTATAAAGTCGTAATGATTGTAAATAGTTGAATTAAGGAACCGAAAATAATCGAAATGATGACGATTCACATGAACTGTTGATAAATAAATTAAGTTCTTGTGTTGTTTTTTTATCAAGGAACGACCTATAAATTAATTAGATCGAAGAAGCATTGGCACCTAAAAACCCCAAGGCGATATATCAATTGACTTTCCGAAGGAAAAATATAATTAGCTATCTTCTTGTGGGTCATAGCAGTTTCTCATTATCATCAGCAATGAATTGTTTAACCTTATGATTCAAGCTCAGGACATATGATTCATGGCCAGTGAATGTCTCGATGATTTTCTTCTCCAATTGCTCTGTGTATTTATATTTTTTTTTTCCTTGGATAGACGAGATCCGTGCGTTTATTTCGAATTGGTTTGAGGAAACGCCGAGTGGGAGGGGCGCACATGATAACATAAAAAAAAAACGGAGCAGGGAGGAAACACCGCTTCTGTATTCACTGCCTTATTAAAAGCGGGGGTGGTGTTTCGCATTCAGACCAACAACAGGTGCACCTGCGAGGTATAAACAAACGAGGGCGCAACAAGTACATTTGCGATCACCTTGGTTACGAATCTGTTTGCTTTTCAGTTTTTTTTTTATTATTATTATTAAAGTTACTTAAGTTAGAAATTGTATCATCTACTACCCACCTATAGCAAAGCGTCCGTTATCTGGAATCTCGTTCCACCCAATCATCTTCCTCTGGGACTCCTCCTCGTCCTTAGGGACACCTCACTCGATGAAAGTCTTTCACTGACTACCTTGAGTATTGTCATTCGTTGTAGCGCGGATCGTGCGGATATGCCATAATTTAACTAAAACAAACACTAACCACAACAACCTCGATTATCACTCATCTCACGGTGCTTCTCCTTCGATGACAAATTCCCTACTACTGCCCGCACTCCGACGAAAACCAACATCGAAGCCTACAGTTTTACCAACAGATTTGTGACTGCAGCTGGTGATACAAAGTGCTAATTATGCGGGCGCTCCTCAAAGATGCGAAGCTTCTTTATTACTTTTCTATTAAATAACATATATGTGTGAAGAAATCAAATTACATATTGGAAAATCAAATATAAAATACTTATTAGAATTTACCATTCAAAATCTTAGATGTATGCCACCAACAACACATATCAAATTTGAATTAAAAGAAATTTATATGCATCTACTACAAATTCAGAAGATTATTTCTTCTTAATAAATTATGAGTCTATCAACAAACCTTCAATGCTTCGAGCTTAATAAGTTATATAAACAGATGAAAATAGTAGATTTTACGATTTTTTCCTCTTCAAATTTATTGTAATTTCCATCTGAGCCAGATATATTTTCATTTTAATAATTTAAGCTTTTTTTTGTACTAATTTTATTTATTGGGTAAATGTTTAATATGATAAATATCAATAAGTGAAAATGAATAATTTAAATTATAATGCAACCAAATGTACATAAAATAAATATTTTTTGATAAACAAAGCAATTAACGGACGGATGATGCATAAAGCAAATCTATCATTAGGCTAATTAGAAAGAGCAAAGTTTCGTTTTTAATTTGCATGTTAATTGATCTGATTGGCTTTAATAGTTGTCGAGTAATTAAATAAAACGTAAATACTCTCCAAACAAATTTAAAATTTAGAAAATCTCTTTAATCTCAATTAATAATTAGAACTTATAAATATTTTTATATAATAAAGGTGAAATAATTATTAATATTTTCTTTATTCCAACAAGAGATAAAAACCTTGACGTGGATTATATGTACAAAAAGTATTATGTATATACAGCGCGCTTCCAACAATGAACATAATCAAAGGTACATAAAGTAAACGAGGTTCGAGGTGCATAACGCAAATAATAATTGATATACATAGATATACATATAAAGAAAATAATGGATGCGTGGATACCGATAAAATTAATTAATAACTAATAAAAACGAAATAAAAACATGTTACATCTGTTTACATTGTGATAGATTCGCAATTTCGTATAAAACAAAACGAATTACAATAGAAAAAAAAATATACGTAGAAAGAAAGAAATCAAGAGTATTTGATCCTAATAATGTTTGTTATCCCATTACCAGAAACACACTGGTCCGGAACATCACAGAATACAAGAAAGCAATTAACTATTAATACTTATCCCCCTCCGTTTCAAAATCATCATCATCAACATCCATATGTGCGGTCAAAATCAAAGAAATCCAACAATATATATGCATTGTTACTGGCAAGAGTTTAAAAACATTAATTATATATATAAAATGGATAGAAAAATCGACGATGTGATGTGTGTTCCAATTAAAAACGAACTAAAAAATAATAATAATCTAAATTAAGTAAAAACGACGTAAAAACGTAAAAGTATGAAGTTTGGTAGGGTACAGTTGTTTCTAGGCTAAGCCAGCATCGCGGCACATGCTGTAGAAGATCGAGCCTCTATTTTGCAGAAGCCGTGGCGGAGAGTCAAACTCGACTATGGTACCCTTATCCAAGACGATGACTCGATCCGAATCCATGATCGTGTTCAATCTGTGAGCGATGGTGAGGACGGTGCAATCCTTGAACTCTGTTCTGATGGTCCTTTGGATCAGGTCGTCGGTTTCCAAATCCACGGCGGCAGTAGCTTCATCCAAGACGAGCACCTTCGTCTTCCTCAGCAAAGCTCTGCTCAAACAGATCAACTGCCTTTGCCCGACGGAAAGATTTTCACCGCCTTCAGATACTTCGTGATTCAAACCGGCGGATAATCCTAATGAATGAAATCAATTTAGATTTGCTTATCACATTTAACATCGTTACCTTTGACAAAGTTCTTCAGATGGGCTTGATCCAGAGCGGTCCACACCTCTTGATCGGTATGCCTATCGAATGGATCCAGATTCATCCTCAAAGTGCCTGAGAAGAGGACGGCGTCCTGCGGAATGATAGTTAAGCGGGAACGCAACGCGTGAAGACCCAATTGCGAGATGTTTATACCATCAATGGCGATTTCTCCTTCGGCCGCTTCAATTATCCTTAAAATACACATGTTTAAGCTATTGTTTCAAATATAAGATTTCAGAAGTACCTGAATAGAGATAAGGTCAAACTGGATTTTCCTGCTCCAGTCCTTCCAACAATTCCGACCTTTTCTCCACCTCTCACAGAAAAGTTAACCCTCTTCAGGACTAAATCCAATCCCTCGCGATATCTAACAGAGTAATCTTTGAATTCAACACTTCCTGTTTCCGGCCACAGCGAGGATGGAGTTTTGTTCTCGATCTCCCAAGGAGCTTCTTGAGCCGTCTCCCCGTACTCCTTTATCCTTTCCACCGCTACGATGTTAGTTTCCACGTCCGACGTCATTCGGACCAACCAATTCAACGTTTGTGTGACCTAGAAATCAAGAAAATTAACAATTTTCTCCAAACGGTTTAAAATTTGAAAATTATTACTTGTAACGCATAACTAATAGACAATCCAACAAGTCCAGCACTCTGCTCCTCGTCACGTCCGAGGACGACGAACAACGCTGCGAAGAGGATGATCAAGTTACCGACCATCTCTAAACGCACGGCGAGCCACCTGTTCGCGATGATGCTTGGATGATAGCATATCTGATTGAAGTCCACCTTCGCTTCGGATTCGCTGATGAACCTCGCCTCCTCACCGAAAGCTCTGATTGCGACGGCTCCCGTGACGCTCTCGCCGAAATGCGAGTAAATCGGAGACCTCGAGACGGATTCCAGACGTTTCAACTGTCTGGAAGTCGCAACGTAGAATCTCTGAATGAAGTAGTAGATGATGCCTATCGGCACGATAACTGCAGCGAATTTGGGAGTGGTGTAGCTGATCACGAACAGCGTAGCAATGACCTATGAAGAGAAATGCATAGCATATAAGATCATCAGGAATGGGGAACGTATACACGATAATAATAGAACATTGAACACTTAACACGAGTTACATTGAATGGAGAAAAAAAGCAGTTATATTTAAACAAATAAATTAAGCTTATTAAGTTAATAACTAAATAAACCTAATTCAATTAGGTGTAGATCGTGCTGGGCCACTTCTGCATCACTGAAACAAAACGAAATGAACATTTGTATGGGGGCGGCAGTACCTCTAAATCTATATGAAAATTACACTTGTATCTTATCCAGGTATGATTTAGCACAAATGTGTGATATTGTAAAATTGAAATAAGTTATATAAAAATAAGTATTGAATTGTTCACTTATACAATAACACACATCAATCTAATAAATCTAAAAAGAAGTAAAATTAAAACATACACATTGTCAAAGATAACACCTAAATCGTTCTTTTTTTTTAAATCCATTGATTATTGATTATAATTCATGCTGAAATTAGATAGGGTTTTATAATAAATCCGTGTTAGTCGATTAATACACAATAAAGACTTGTTACTCTAGAAAATAGTCTGATGTTAATCTAGAGTGCCATTCTTTGATTCTAGACTCCCAGAAATGGCAAAAGGGGACTGGTGTGCACCCAGCAAGCATCATGAGAACTGTTGAACTCTCGACAAGAGTTCGAATGTGCTCGATGCGGCTGTTCGTAACTACATTTTTGGTGTTGTAAAGATGAAATACCTCAAAGAAACAGTACACTCCGTCAGATATGAGAAACGGCATGCTAGTGTCTAATTCGTCGACGTCTTTCGAAAATCTGGCCAGGATTCTGCCGGATGGCGTGATATCGTAAAATGAGAGCGGCACTTTCATTAGGTTTAGAAGCATAGAGTTGTGCATTGCCCTGGCGGCATACCAGCAACCCAAACGGGGCATTAGATCCGCCACAATAGAACCAAACGCTAAAATGGAACAGTTAACAAAAGATATAAAATATTAAAGAAACTCAGTTTTTTTTTAGTTTACATTAAATTTTGCATGTTATTTACAATGAGCGATGAATGCGTTATTATTATTATTATGATTATTCATTAGTGTTAAGCTTTAATTTACAGCATTTTTCATCTTTTTGGATTATCCAAATCAATATACACCAGTAAAATTGAACTAGCCGTGATAAAATTTCTCTCAACCTTTATACTTGATCAACGTATGCATTTGGATTGAAACAATGGTAAACAAGGGTACGTTTCCATGGTGAAATCATCCAAATAATAGAAATTCCACCTCGAAAACGCACCTTAACTGACGTGAATTAATGTTCTCGAAATGAATAAAATCTTTATCAAATAATGAACGTATGTATCATGTGTGATTTCGTGTTAGTCGCTTTTTGAGAAGAGAAGAAATGGAACGCAACAAACTAATCACTCTAATAGGAAAGAGTAAATAATTTTGATCAGGTTAGTAGTAATTAAATAAATATACACGAAGATTAAATCACACTTCTCAAGCCTATAACCAACCCAAAAGCCCATATCCATACGAAAAAAAGATTAAATTGATCGTTTTAAATTGTTTTCTAAAATAAATATCCTTTCGTTTCTTTTAATATTATTTTGAATTGTTAAAAAAAAAATAGGATATATGTATTAAAATGATCAATTATTGGAGTAAATATTTCAAGAAGAATCGACAAAGTTAGTTATATTTGGAGACGATCGAAATAATCACGTAGTGTTATCTTTGGCAACAGGAACACACACAAAAAAAATATAAATATAAAATTGAAGAAATCCGTGGAATAACCTGCCCAGTCCTGAAATAAAGACACAATTAAAATGAAAACAAAACAAAATAAAAACTAGTCGACGTGAGCGTAAAACACTCGATGATTGTGAGATTACTAAAAGAGTGGGGGGGGTTGGGATCAATGTGAAAAGTAGAGAAGAATGGTGCGAATAAAAAGCGGTGAACGTACCCGGCTGGCGCAGGGCGTGATCTGTCTGACATTGAGGGGGAGGCGCACGTCAATTACGTGAAAATCGCACGAGAATTTGGTGAGGACACGCCCAGTGGGCGTGACATAGAAATACGCCATGGGCAGTCGCAGCACGCCCCGCAAGATGGCATTGTGCAAGGACGCCGAAGCGTCGCTAGAGCCTTTCGCAAACACGAATTGAAACGCAAGCACGGAACACGCTAGAAAAGAACGGCAGATACACACAAAATGGATAGTAAAATATAACAACAAAAATTTAAAAAAAAAAAGAAAGAGAAACGATAAAAAAAAGGAGTGTTTGTGGTTTTAGCGAAACACAAAAAGGGGCGGGGTGAGACTATAACATTTAATGCTACGAAGGTGGGTGGATCAAGCGCAACGTGATGGTGTGATCAAATTAAAAGAGAGAAAAAAAGCAAAACTAAGAAAGAGAACGTACAATAAATGACATAAAAGATATGGGCAGAGACGACTGTATTAAATATAACTGCAAAGAATTTTGATGTGTTTCGAAAATTTTAATTTGTTTTAGAGATTTAGTTTCTGAGGTGGGACTTACGACGCAACCGCTCTCAATGACCTCATAGCAATTGACGTTCAACTCGTTATCTAATATGTTGACGTCTCGCGAGCATCGGCTCAGGATTCGGCCGGTGGGCGTGCCTGCGAAAAACTGGCACGGCAATCGCATTATGTTGGCCAATAGGCGACCGTGGATTTTGTTCGAGGCGTGCACCCCGGCTACAGTGAGAGTTACTTCGGAAGCCGATATTGAAAAGACTAAAAAAACAGACACAATGTAATCGAACCAGCTTCAGGAAATCGTAAAAGTAAATAATCGTAATTTTCAACAACAAAAAAAAGATTAACAAAAAGAAAGGCTTTACCAAAGAATAATCAAGCCATAACAACAATAACACAAAAAAAAAAGAAGAAGAAAAAGAAAGTGCGCGCTCCTTTTCAAGCCGTTTGCTCTCTACACGCAAAGTAAATGGGAAAACAAAATGATATGAATTTTTGAAAAAAAAAATAAATTATAAAGGGAACTTAAATCGAAATGATTAGAAATACACATGACAATAATCAACAAAATATATATATATGGTATTTAAATATAACTGCTTTCGATGATTGTTGTTAGTGCGATTTGGGGGGGTGGTGGTGTTGGTGGTTTTGTGGTGGGGGGGTGAGTGAAAGAGATTCAATAATTATACCACAAAGAAACAATTAATCCATCCGCCAAAGGTCATCGGCAAAACCGTGTCCAAAGTATCAACGTCTTTCGAAAACCTATTTAAAATTCTCCCAACGGGCGTCACATCAAAGAAGTGCGTCGGCGATCGCATTAGGTTTTTTAGCAGCAAATCGTGGAGCAACTTGGCCCCGTTCAGCGTGCCAAGGTAAAGCGCCAAAGACGACACGAATACGCTAAGAACTGAATTTTCAGAGAAACAAACAAAAAAAATAATAATAACAAATAAAAAAAACAAACAAACAAACAAACAAAACTTATAAATAAATACAAAACTGAACGTAAACAATAACGAACGATAGAGAGAGATTGAATACAAGCTATAAAATAAATGTATTTAATTTAAAATAATAAATAAAAGATAATAAAGGTCCCGCCCCCTGAAAAAAACAAAAGAAATAATACAACCAATCAAAGCAGCAATGGCACGATTCAATTAGTGATTAGTGTGTATAGTGCAGAGGTGACACGAATGCAAAGAGATGGCCAGCACCGATTTTGGACGCGTTGATTGGATGTATTAAGAGAGAAATATATAATAAGCGAATAGAAAAAGTGAAGCGTGTTTTGTTTCGTGTTAGTTCAAATAATATAACAAAAAAAAAATATGATACGTTCATAAATTTCTTTTCTTTTGAGAATGGGAAATTTGCCCAAATTGAGAAAATTTGATTATTTGATAAATAAAAGTGTGTATATGTATAGGTTTTTTGTCTATTTACCGCATAGAATTGTTTGATTAATGATGACAAAAGCATCGGCATTACGTTATCCATTACGTTCACGTCAGTTGAGAATCTGTTGAGGACTCGACCTACCGGCGTAGTGTCGAATATTGCCATCGGCCAACGCATTACGTAATTTAGCAAGGTTTCGTGAAGATATTTGGTCGCATAGATGCAACCCAAAGCGTGTGTTATGGATGCGATTAGTACCGAAACTCCTATAAAAATAAAAAAAATAATATGTAACAGAAAAAAAAAATAGAATATGATCTGTTTTTTTTTTTGGTAACCACAAATTACTTATATATTATATATTTACATATTATACGTAATAATGATACATATAAATTAAAACGTCGAAATTATAAGAAGAAAGAAGAAGAAAACGAAAAGAAAATGATGTGCATGTATATATGTATTTCTCGTTACCACATTATGGGTGGAGGGTCATCATTTATGGTGCTTTTTGTTATTAGGAATAATGATTGAAACTGAACTGAAACCTGCGATGCGAAATTAATCGAAATTCATGAGGTTTTAATTGCTGTGTGGTAATTAAATTTAAATATATATAAATAATGTAAAAAAAAAACAGTTAACGAAACAAAAAAAATAACGCATGCATTTTAGGAAGTTTGTTAGGTCATGCAGAGCTCGTATTCACACATGCCAAAAACAAAGAACCGAGATCATACAAATATTGAACGTTCTGAGAGTAATAAGTTCCTCCGCTATGATTTGCGTATCCAAAAAAAAACTCTCTTCTCAAATTTTTGTTTCTTCTAATGGAAGCAGCATTTTTTTTTAAATTTGTTAACAACTTCCGTAATCGTTTTGTCTTTTGGAATCGAATCGGGATTTCAATATACGGGATTAATATATTAGAACTACGAAACTTTTCGTAAACATTGAAACATAAACAAAATAGGCTAAGGCTATTAAGGCGAAAAGCAAATTATACTGAAATCTATACCGTAAGTTAAAAGTAAATAAAACTTAGGAATTGAAACTACTGTATTAAAGGCGGAATCGAGGATTGGATTAAGTTGTCTTTTCAGATTGGCAATCTTAAATACAATCATATCATTTTTGGTTTCGTGGAAGAAAAGAAAAAAATACTGCTTTCTTTTTCTTGCTTTCTCTTTTCTACATTTTTTTTTCTCGTAATAATTTCGTAACTATTCCTACTAGATGATTGTGCGAAATCTCATACCTTGTCCGATGCCGAGCGCGCCGTACACGCCCAAATACAAATCCCTTTTATCCTTATTTATGGTTCCAGTTCCGTTGAGCATCATATCCTCGTCCGTGGACCATTTACTCAGCCACATGTTGGAACCTATGCTGAAGCCTTGGAAGACCATGTTGAGAAGGAGCGTGATCACTGTTAAACCTAAACCTATGGACATCAGGTAATGCTTGTAGACGCTCCATTTCACGCTTCCCGTCTCCGCCTTCTCCACTTCTATAAGTTTCTCTCCGACAAGTTTCTTAGCGTCCTGCACTTCCACGGAAGAACTCGACCTGTGCCGAACTCCACCGGAATCGGACGACTTTTGCCGTTGCAGAGAACCGTTCGTCTTCTCGGAACCAGTTTCGGAAATGGATTCGGAAACGTGCGACCTGGCGCGCTGAATTTTCCGAGAGATCTCTTCGGGAACTGGGATAGATCCCAATTGATTTTGCAATTCATCCAAACCTGAATTTTAAAATTTCAATTTTATATAAAGTTATTTACACAGTCAAATTGATTAATTACCATCATCGTCTTCAGCTTCGACGGCTTCATTCACGTGTTGGATTAAGAACTCTGCAAATGCACCCTTCTTGTCCAGCAACTCCTGGTAGGTGCCGACCTCCGAGACTTCTCCTTGCATCAGAACCACGATCTTATCGGTTTGAGGTAAGTACGTTATTCCATGAGTAACCAGAACTCTCGTCTTGTGCTTGAGCAAACCATGAGGGCCAAGGACTTTCTCGAAGATGTGTTTACCGACGTGACTGTCCACGGCGCTCAATGGATCATCCAAGAAGTAAATATCGGAGTTCGCGTAGACGGCACGAGCCAAACTGATCCTCTGCTTTTGACCACCGGATAAATTGATACCCTTCTCACCGATCTCAGTCTGATCGCCGGCCGGCAACATATCAAAATCAGCTTTCAAAGCGCAAGCTTCGATGATGTTATCGTAAAGCTTCTTGTTCAGCGGTTTCCCAAACAACACGTTATCCTGTAGGGTCGCGTTTTGGATCCAAGCCTGCTGCGAGACGTAAGCCACGGAGCCGACGGTGTTAACTCTTCCCGACGTTTTATCCATCTCACCCAAAAACGCGGAAATCAAACTGCTCTTGCCCGAACCAACAGTACCGACGACAGCAGTCAAAGATTTCTTCTTCAAACGCAAATTGATGTTCTTCAATGTAGGCCCTTCGCCCCAATCGAAATCTCCATTTTCAATCACCAGTGGATCACCTAAACAATATTTCAAGCAATTCAACAATCAATTATATAAGAAATAATTGATGCTCACTCTCTCCGGCGTCATGGGATACGCTTTCAGGATCCAATTCTTCGCAGTTCATGAATTTGTTGATCCTCTTCACCGAAACTCCAGCCTAAAATATTCGTCAATTCTTTTGAAAGTAACTGCGTACGCATTTCGTTGATGTTTTAGTTTTCAGTAAAAGCAAAATTAATATAAATAAAGTTCGTAAAATTAAAAAAGCAAAGCAATAATTATAATTGAAAGAAAGAGTAAAATCTGAATGTGGTTTTTGTTGTTGTTGTTGTATTGTTTTGATACGGTGATCTGATGTGGTAGCTTACTTGAACCATGTTGGAGATCATCATTGGCAACATGCTGAGCGGAAAACGCAAAATGTTGAAGAGTGATAAGGAAACAAATGCTGTGGATGCGTCTAGCACATTATCCTCGTCCACCATTACGAATGTAGCAAAAGATACTAGAGAAACCTATATAATATGGGATCACATCATGCATTTGATAAGAAATATTATATGTAAAAATTAAAATAGTAGATCGAATAAAATAGTTTTGTTGTTGTTGTAAATGAGGAAGAATTTGTTAATTTGTTTGATTTAGCTTTTTTGTCGCTCGCATGATGGGTGTATAATAATAATAAATAAAAAAATAGAAAAGACCACAACCATTTCTCCGCTTGCCGATAGATTAAAATGATTTTCATCTAACCTCAACGGCGTACACGATCAACAATGGAAGCAGTGCCATAGGCATGTTCAATATGCAAAACAGCGAAAGGGACACAAATGCCACTTGCGGAGTCAAGACATTCTCATCACTGCTATAGACATACACTGTAAAGGTCAATATAGACACCTAGGATTTCGGAAAGAACAATTAACTAAATTCTTTAACTCCAATAGCCAACTTAATCATAAACTATAAACCGATTAATGTAAAAGTTAAGAAAAAAAAAAAATAAGCGATAATCTCACCAGGAATGGAGCGCAGGACCAGATGAACGAAGTCCCCGCATTAAGATACGCCGCCTGTTTAAGTACTTTCATCTCTTTCGTCCTGATCTTCAGCACTTGAGCCTCGAAGCTCGGTTCCCATGCGTAAAGTTTAAGTACTTTTATACCGCTGAGGATCTCGTTCATAAGCTTGACACGCTCATCTTTGTTCTTCATTTGCTTAATCTGCAGATCTTTCACCCTGTTTGCGATGAAGCCGTTCACTGGGATCAAGATTATCATGACCGCTAATCCGGCGAGAACGGACGGTCCGAGGACTTGCCACAGGAAGTACAATGCCAAGATGATTTGGAAAGGCGCTGACCAAATCATGTTTAAGTACGCAGTGAGCTCGACGAATTTCTGCGCGTCGACGGACATCAAATTCACGATTTCTCCAACCGTGCTAGCTTTGCGCGCGGAATTCGACATCCTCAAAGCCTTCTTATAGATTGCCGCTACCAGGGCAGTTCTAATCCTCATGCCAACTATGAACATCCTATTGAAGTACTGCGACAGGATCAACGTTTGTACTATGGCAGTGCCAAACAGAAGACCCGCATAAAGGAAACCTCTCCACGAATACTCTTTGTTTTCAACAAACGAGATCAACAACCTAAACGCAAATTACATTTTACCATCTAATTGAAAACAACTTTTGCAAAATTTCTTACTTTAAAATCTGTGGACTGACGAAAGCCAGGATGTCCTGCATCAACTTCAGCATTGCCCCAAACAAGAACGTAGGCCCGAACGATTTGATTAAAGCTGGAAGGATCGAAGCGGATTTCTTTTTCTTGGAACCGCTCACAAAGTCCACACGGGCCGAATCCGATTTGTACGATGCATTTGATCTGCAACATCAATGATATAATAATAATTCCAAAATCTAGGTTGGGAAACACCGATGCAGTGAATAAGATGCTTGCGCATGCAATGAATAAATTCAAATATGTTGGTGTAGGCAACCAAATGTGCACGCGTTATATGATGGTGGTATACGTACTTTTCGTATTTCGATTTGGTGTGCTGCCAATGTTTTTCGAACTGCGCTGTGACGATTTTGGCAGAATCCTCGGCCTTCATGTCCCATAAATCTGTAGTCTCCAAGGGTTTCCTGAACCCGAGCCACGCCAAACGATCGAACCAGGAAAACATCAGACGCGACAGAAAGCCGCCCGATTCCTCTGGACATGGTTTCTATAACGAAAACATATTGCGTATTTATAGTCCATTTACCTATTATAAATGTGTATGCGTTTTTACTTCTAGTTTAGGGTAGAAGCTTTGCCTCGGTGCTTGATCGGCGAACCAATTCAGGAAGAACATCAAGAGCACGCAAACATAATAGATGATGTAACTTATGAAATAGTAATCCGTTGTATTCGATTCCCGTATTTCCGTGCGGAATTGGGCGGCGCCGCACAGGGCGCACAGGAACCAAAAGAGGAACTGCAAACCGGAAGTTCGCTGACCATGTTTCCGGTTGTAGAAGAGCAGAACCGCAGCGAGCGACTGCAATCAGAAATAATTCATATTAATTCGCTGTCTCCGCGACTACAATTAGTTTTAACTTGCAAATGTTAGCAATTTGATAACTGGACTGTAGATATCAACGTTGTAGACTACGACGTTCTCATCGACGGTCCCTTTGATCGCGTAACCCAAATCGCTGATAGTGAGGACGAGGAGAACGCCGTTGACGAAGAGCTTGCTGACATTGAGGATATTCCACGGGATGTCCCTGTACTTGCTGTCCACTATGTAGAAGACCTCCAAGCAGGAGAAGAGCCACAGGAATAAGCACGGCGTCCAAATAAGCACCGTCTTCTCAAAGCATTTCGTCAAATCCGGATCCTCGGTATACCAAGACACATTTAAATTCTGGAAAATAATGAATGTTAATTACAGTTTTTTTTTTACTCGACCTCGCCGCACGTAATAATATGCAAAAGCAAAAGTAATCTCTCTCTCTCTCGCTCCATCTCTGGAATTCAAAAAGTCGGTCAAAAGCGTTACGAAATTGGGTCATTTTCGAGGATTTTCACACGCCGACATCGTTCCATCTGGATGCGAGACTTCTTCGACTACACGTTTCCAATACGATCATCGCGTTTGCGACCGCTGAACTCACCCAAAATTCGGATCCGCAGAAATCGTCCATCCTTGAGTTCGCCATCTTCGTCGCCGCACTGCGACCGCACGCGTTTCTTCAGATCCGTCCACTTCCTCTGTCCACCGGACGATTCTCTTCTATCCAACTCTGAAAGATGATCAGCTTCAGTCTTGGCACATAACGTCAAACGGATTCAGCGATGCTGCCCATTCTCAAGGCTCCCAATAGACTGTCTCCCTCTCACGTGCACTCACCGCAGAGCTGACACACTTACTGAATGATTTTTTTGAGCTGCCCCATCGAACAGCTGACATCTGTCAGCATTCAAACTAACAACTATCACCGATGTTGCCATACTCCACAAAAAACACATTATTCTTAACCATTTCCCAGCACTTCATCGAAGCTCAAGCGAATATAACTAAAGTAATTCACAAACGACAAATAATCTACTCAATTAAAAGACTCGAAACGTTCGATTACTTGCAATAATTACGAGCATCACAGTTAGATAACATGCGCAACGTTGCACAGACCACGTGAGTTAATTGTCAACAACGGTAGCGGTGGCAACCCACCCATCAAAATAAAGAAGTTTAAAGGTATTACTACTGTAAGACAGCAATATTTGCATATATAAATTCCCAAGAGAATGGCCAGGAAATCCGTCTTCCTAGATGTGGATTCATCGCTTCGCGAACGTAACTATCTGTTAGCGGTGAGTGTTCATTCTTTTCAGGTTATGTCCCACATAAACATTTATTATGTACCGCTTCCAACTGGAATATAATTGCTAATATGCTTTGCAATAAAACCATATAGTAATTAGAGTGTATTACCATTATAATCCATCAATTACCATCGACTGTCAATTGATAATTCAGTCGATAATTTGATTTTTATATATATATTTATATATATATCGCCATGACAACAGAAATGTTTCCTCTCATTGCATATGCGTTAATTGGAATTAATTGAAGAGGTCTTTCACAGCTAATAATTATTATTATCCATCTGTTGTATCTCAATTACTTTATCGTGCCTTTCGTATTTAGCTCGTTCATTGTTTTAACCTTCCCAGTGGCAGATATCAAAGCAACAGCAACCATGACATATCACATTTTAATTTGTTCAATCGCAAATATTTATAAGCGGTTAAATCATAAACTCATCATCTCTACGTAAATACTAAAGCGCTTTGTTTGTTTGCTTTTGGGAATTATTCATATACAAGTTTATTCATGAATATTAAATGAACTTAGTTAACTAACGGTATAAACTAATAAAGTTTAATGATGATTTAAAACAGAAATATAATCATTTAAATTGAAAGAATTTTTATTATTATAATTTGTGTTAATTCTATATTTAATTTGTAAAAAAAGCTAATATTGTTTCTAAATATGCAGTACAGTGGAACCTCGGATAACGAGTTTAATCCGTTCCAAAATTTTGGGATTTTTACTCGTATAGTGAAACATATTCAAAATTACACAAGTTATCTAATCGTCACTCGTTATGCGAAACGTCGCTTGTTAAGCGGGTCATTTTGTGCTCGTTAAGCGAGGTTCCACTGTATTTGGTTTCAGAAGTTAACTGGTTATGAAATATTACGATTCGCTTATAAATAACTTTACAATCATTAAAAAAACAATTGACCGTTGGATTCAGAGAATCGCTGTTTTTTTTTTAAATTTGAAATCGAGTCACATTTTTAATTGCTTTTGTTATCGTCAACGTTGTTATTAGATATAATCATCAGAGTTTACTATTTCATTGATGATTTTGCTATTTTTATCTCGTTTCATTCGAGTTATGTGATTTAGAAATGAAGGAATGCAATTAATTACACAGTCGTCCTTTCCAGAAAGATCCAGCCGAAGATGAGATGGAAAAGTTCTTCAGCCAAGCGGCGGCGGACCGTCAGATACAGCAGCCGAAGTTGGTGAAGCCGTCGCCAGGTAAACGCGTTACGTAATTTAACGGAGCCGGCTTTTTTTTTGACGGTGCAGCTCCGACTAATAACAACAACAGAAATAACACACACACAAAAAAAAATATATTCCGAAGGCCGTCCGCGTCTCCTCTCTTCGCTTCCCCCACACACACGACCCGGCAGATGATCTTCGGTAATCATCTTCATTCCTTCCTCGCGGTCAAAGCGGATGCTTTGTTTCATTGTAAAGCTATTTTTACGATTCGCAATTTCTGCCGAACAATGATGATATGAAGGATGCAGCCGCCAACTCGTTAATTTCCGCATTTTTTTTTCTTTGGATTTAAAATCCAAATAAGAATAATTACATTAGCTCATTATGAAAACTGTACTTATTCGCATAGCTTAACAATCAAATTTAATGACTTAATAAGTCAGGAAACATGGTTACATCATAATAAGTAACATGATGTTGTTGCATTTTTTTTTTCATAAAACGTATATTAATCTTGAATTTCGTATCTTGAAAGCAGAGATGTAATTTGGTATTTATAATATTTAACATAAAGCTATTTACATTCCGCGCTCAACAAATTCGTGGAATTTCGTGACATTATGTAGACCAGGTATTTCCATTGTTCCATGAACTATACCATCAACGTTAATGTAAACATCGCTGCTTAAGCGAGAACGAAAAAAAAAAAATGAAAAGAACTGTATTCAACGTCCAATAATCAATATCTATTCTTGGCGCGATGTTGCGAAAAGAATGGAAATCTGGGGATAAAAACGTTGATCTGATTGTGTTACGGCTATCATCAAGTTTATTGACCGAAGAATTCGCGATGTGTTTACCCTCGATTTTGCGCTATCTCCGATGATTACGTGATAACAACCACAAAAAAAAATCTAAATGAAACTAATGAGTTTACGTAAAATAAGAGCAAAATCGAATAAAGCGCGTGCTCTTCTCCATCAATTGTTTGCGTCGATTTACAAATTGAATCATACATGTCTATAGTAATAATTCCATGGTTGGTTGCCGATGCTCAGTGAATTCAATAATAATTACCGCACTCAAGGTTTTTGCATATGTTTGTTGATAAATTTAAACGCGTTATATTTATAGATGCATTTTTAAATGTAATATCTTCCTGTTTTTTTGTTGTTGCTGTTAATATTGCGTAATGATGCTTAAGTTTATATTGGTGTTGTTTTTGAAAGATTTATGTAAACTCCCAGATTATTGCTGTTCGTTATGCAATTATAATGTTTTTGAACTCACCTGGACTATCCAGAAACGTTATCCAACACGGGTGAGAGTGCGAGCACTGACGAGCAGCGAAATTTCGCGACGTTAAATGAAATTGTTTCCCATCTATTTTATGTAATTCTTTCTGTGTGCTTCTTTCCTCTTTTTCTTTTTTCGTGGTCGGAGAGATCGGAACCGCTTTAGCGCGAAGCGAGTGCGCGAATACTGCTGTTTACATTAGCACTCATAGTTTTATCAGAGCTAATACTACTACAACAGCACAATTTTTCTTTCCATCCACTCGAAGCGTTTTTCAGAGCGTTTGATAACAAAACCCCGATATCAGAGATTGCGTGGTGCAATGTTAATTAACAAATAATCGTTCGAATTAATTTATTTGCTCAGTATATTTTATCGTCTCCATCTTTCACCGATCGCAAATGTATTCGAATTATTTTTTGAACCGGTTTTTTGGGGGAATACCAATTCTCAGAACTGGATGCTGGGCTACAACAATCGGTTTATAATGGATAGATGCAATCTCCAATTTAGATATGTAGCCTAGTTTTTGTTGTTGCTTGCAAATGGACGTTTGTTCATCTTGTATCCATCCTACCGGATCGCCTGTTCATTCACTAAACTGCGGTTTTTACGTAACGCCCGTGTGTGTTTATGATGCCATTGTGCCTGTGCTCGCCAGGCGAGTCTTTCATATATTTTTTTTAGTACAGTTTTGGGTCCGTTCCGCCAATGAAATGTCATGTGTTCCTGGCCTTTCTTTCCTCCGTCCTTGGCTTTCTATTAAATGCCATCAATTTTTCCAATCGATCTCCGTACTCATTGTTCTTCTAATACATTTGTTTTTCCTTTCCCTCCTCGTCCTTCAAAACGTTAATCAATTTGCTTGGTAACTATTTTGTCATTGCCTCCAGACATATTATCAAAATAAACACTTTCATAACTTATTTAGAAATTCCAAGTTGATCAACAATATATTGACCTGCATCCATTTTAATAAGTCGACAAAATAACAACATTTTATATCGAGATATAAAAAATATGAGACATGAACAAAATACTGAATTTTCTACTAGTTATTGTAACTAATTTAATATGCTGAACGTCCTTGAAGTGTGTACAATTAAGACGGAATGTAATTACATTTTTTTGTATCAATGAAAGAATTTGATATATTTTATCAAGTAATTTAAGTCTATTGTTAATGTTTTGGGAGTGCGTTGGTAATTGAATGCTCTTTAGATATTTATATTTGCGTATGGTTAACACTTTATTATTTCCTGTTTACATGCGATAATTTCCAACTACAATTGAACATAGCACATTCTATGTGAACAAACTATTTGCAATGTAATGTTCTGTAATTTACTGTGTGGCTTCTATTTTCTTTTATATTTATCTATTCAAAAATGTAAAGTAAAAAAAATATACAAAAATGATCATATTTCAGTTAATAATTAACATATTTTAGCAATTGTTATATCAAAAGATGTACATTAATAGACTTTAAATTAATCTCTTATTGGAACTGGTTTTGCTAAAAGCTGGTTATTAGATTCTTATATCAAAAGATGTGAAATTATATTTATATTTAAAATGTACTTGATTTCATTATATTTAGTGTCTAAAAGTGTTATCGTTTAATCCTTTATTTGAAGGATGATTAAGACTCTTGTACGTTTGTTATTCACTTCTGATGTTATGCTATTACGTTGTTTTTTTTTTTCGAGGAGGATGCATATGATTATGTTTTTCACTATTTGTCTTTTATTATTATTACAATGGTGTAATCGCTATTATCGCAGTCCTTGCTGGCGGATCGGTATTTCGTTTTGATTACGATGTTTTTGTGTGTGTGTGTACGAGTATAATGTGGAAATAATTATATGAATATTAACATTCTGGATGCTGATGCAAACCTAAGATGTATCTATCACCTTGGCGCATCTCTCTCCTAACATTTCTTGTTTATTTGTTCAACCTTGCCACCGTCGGCTTACGTAACCGGCCACCTGAGGCGAAACTTTCTTTCTAAATATACATCCTTTAATGATACCCAAAAATTACGAATGCAACTTTTTTTTTTGGCTGTCCGCAGGAATGTGCTTGAAAACGAAGGATGTGAAGACGGGGAAGAAGATGTTTATGAATATCTGCGTGACCGAGGAGATCCCCGCGCCGAAGGATATCTCTGAAACGGAACTGGAGAGGATCGTGTCTTCGGAGGAGATGTCCGACTTCCGGGTGCCAATGAGCATCGGCGAGATACACGTGGAGCAGGATAATAAAGGCTCCAAGGTGGACGTCTGCGATATCGCTGTTAATACGAAGTTCTTTAAAAAGATCCAGACGATGCGGAGCTTCAAAGAGATCTTCCTTGCGATCGTGTTGGAGGGAGTTCAAGAGAAGTACTCTTTGACTTTGGATAACGAGATGATCATATTGAAGAACAAGAAGTCTATGGGAACGCTGCAGGTGCACAGGCTTAGGCCCATGGAGATGAAAGAGAAGATGGGGGAGAAGACGCAGACTCAGAATAAGCTGCCTTCGTTAACGAATATACTACCTCAAGAGCAAAACAAGAGGAAACTGATTGAAGCCATATCTTCTCCTGATCGCCAAGAACCCAAATACAGGTTGCTGCAAAAGAAGGACAACCAATTCGTGCTATACGCCGAAATTTATCTACCGTACATAGTATGTGGTTAACCGAAACAAATAATTTCAGCTTTTAATTTAATTTTAAAACTTGTAGATTTCCCACGAAGAAATTTCACTTTCAATCGGAGAGGACAGACTCATATTGGATTCCAACTATTATTTCCTGGACATTTTCATGGACAACGTCGATCGCGATCGTTGCATTTCAATCTTCAACAAAATCAACAAAGTACGTAGAAACTAATCGAAATCTCCATGTTATATTATTTGAATTTCAGTTTTTAACCATCACAATGGTGCACAAAGATGCCCCGAAAGTAGCAAAAACCGAACAGATTGAAAATGCGAAATCACAACCAGAATATCGCTTGTATAGGAAACCGGAAGATTCAACGCATCTCTATTTAGCAGTTTCACTACCTAAAATCGTAAGTTTTGAAGCAAGTTAAACCTATTCAAATAATCGATTTGTTTTTGTTCTTAGAAATCAGCAAACGATATAAACTTGGAATTGGGAATGGACGAGGTAAGGATGGAAACGCCAAATTACTTCTTGAATCTGTTCGTGGATTTCGAGATCGATGCGGATAGATCCACGAATAACTTCGACGATTCCCAAAAGGTGAGTTTTTTAATGAAATTATGATTTTTTTTTGTAATTGATTTTTATTTTATTTTTCAGTTATTAACAGTAACAATGACACATCTAAAAGCTCAAAAATCGCCGTGAATGTTTCCTTTTTTCTTAAATATTTTTTTTAAGGCATCTAGTATATATAATTATTAATATATAAATAACGTTTTGATTGTCTTAATCAAAACCTTAAAATAAGTTGCGTGAAGTTTCTTCTTTATTTTTTTTAATAACAATACCCTGACTAGAACTTTGCGATAATTCTTATTCTTAATATATATATTTATTTATTTGGTTTGGATATATTGTAGGTCAGGCAGTAGTAAAGAGGTATTATTAGATTAAAAAAAAGTTTGAATCACTGAATCACATTAGTTGATTACTCAAATGGAAGCTCTCTGTTATCGATTTTACTTGAAGCACTAAATAACTTGATTATTTATGATATGTTTGCGTGAGGTTCTCGCCTCTAAATTGGCTATAATCTAATATAGAAGTGTGATCACAATTATTCTTGTTGCATTTCTACATTTCACCTAAGTTTGGTATAGAAAAAAATAATCTCTAGTCAAACGATGGATTAAATACTAAATTAATTGGTGTTCGTTGCCTCACGATTAACAGCCTACGCCAATAATTGTTTTGTATTCAACGAATTAAAGCTTTCGATAAGATCCACAACCGACTTGATTGAATTGAATTGATTCTAATGGGAATCTGTTGAATGAACTGCTCGATTATTGTTCTGTTAAAACTCGCTCTAAATGGATCGGCCCTTTTTTATCATATCTCCGTGTAGAAGTTGGGCCTTTCGATTTGAAGCATTCGGAAGATGTGCGGAATGGAATAGAGTATGTTGAAGCCGATCGACCAGCAGGTCACGTACTTGCAGCCGATTTCCACGATGTTCTTGTGCTTGTTCTCCAAAGTGTTCTCCGATTTCCGTATATCGTCCACGTCCTGTTTGAGGAGCGCGCAGAAAAAGTTGTAAGATAGTTTCTTCGCTATCGTTCTCGTCGCTAAGACCAAGGCTAAACCTAGGATTGTCCTTAGGATTATGCAGCCGATCATGTAGTACGATGGCCAATATATTGCGTAAGGCGGTGAGAGCTCTGCCGGAGACATGTTTCCCGTTTGGTAGTTCAACCAAGCGCCGATGTGAGCCCCAACAGAAACAGATAAGATCATAGTGGTGTCACCCCTAAAATCATCTCAATCTTCAGATTTATTAACTCGGGAGTTAAGTTGAATATATTTACCTTGTTGGAGTCCATTTATCGCTGTTGGGATGATAAATTATCATCAGTATTGAAGTTACCAGCAACATAATTGGCGACGTCGGATTCGTGAGCAAATAATTATCAATGTAATTCGCAGATGGTACAAGCACGAACATCAGAGATATAGCCAAAGCCAGTCCAGCCAAAATATCCTAAAAAAAAAAGTAACATTTAAACTTCTATTATTATTAAAGATTACATATTTACACTTATCTAAAAAAAAAATGAAAAGTAGATAAGTTATCATTTGCAAATTTGTGTAAATCTGTTGCAAGCAATGAAATCTAAATTAATTTGATAATAAGGAAAACTAACCAGCACAGTGTGCATTCCCAAATACAATCTGCTCATGCAGATGAGAGTGCACAAGGTTACAGCGAAAGCCAACCCGAGAGCAACATTGTACTGATATCTGCTCAAGGTGAAGAGCAGCACTGAGAATGGTATTGAGATCCCGACCATCGCATGAGTTGAAGGCATGCCATATTCCAAAGCCCACTTGTTTTGTAACCTTATGACAGGGTATCCAGGCCTGGGCCATCTGATTATATCCTTAATAGCTTGACCTAACCAAAACAACAATTAATTACAATTAATTATTATATATTTATCGGATTACCTGTGTACATGGCCATAGCCCAAACCAGGACCACCCTCCTGCCCACGTATCCATCAATGTTCCAGAACCAGAACGGAATGAAAATGGAATAAAACAGTTCATCACCAAGTTCCGTACCAAATAGGAAGAGGTAATGCCAGAACCTGTTGGTCACTATAAACTCCCTCTTATCCTTGCCATCCTCTTTGACCTGGACACCAAAGTAATTTTGCACTCTGAAGACTAGCTCCGAAGTCTTTAAGTACTCTATTGTGTCCATTATCTGAATGGGAATGAAACAGGTGAATTTTACTTATCTGTGTCTATCTCACTGCAAAATCTCACACATATCACATAAATCTATTAAACACATTACAATTTTCTATAGCAATGAATTATAATCATATTTTTAAATATATATTATACCTATTTTTCCATTTGTGATCAGGCTTTAATTCACAGATTATTTATTTATTATTCGTTCTCATTGCCAGGTATTTTGCTGATGTTTTCTACATATCTAAATACATATATATATATAATACCGCAGACGCTTTGTTGCCATATTTCTAACAAATTAACAGTACAATTAAATTAAAGTAAATAGTAAAAATCAATTGAAATCACTATAATATAAATAATAATTACAATTTGTATTACATAAATATAGTTTATCCAATTAGCACATTGTATTTAAATACAAACAGTTTGTTCTTAAAGCAGTATTGAAACTTATAAGAATTGAAAATTATTCTTTCATTCTTATTTAATTAATAATTAATTTGAAATATCTAAGGCACAAATAAAGAAGTTAATTGTTGTTTCCTACAAAGATTACAACAGTAGGAAAATATTGTTCATTAGACAACAATGCCATTAATATGGATAATAACAAACGTACTTTGCACACGTTTATTTATATAAAACACGCTCCTTGCAAACATTTTAATTATTTAATTTACATCCATACCATAAAACAAGAATAATAAAGCAATAAATGATAAATCTGTAAACATGTTTTGTGTGTTGCATATATAAAAATCCCATAAGAAATTTACTAATTATATAAATTACATTATGTATCTAAAATAAACATAAACATTCACTTATATACTTACAAAATTGGGGTCTATATCGCAAGCCCGACACCCGAAAGACCGACGCTTGAAATCCCGACTTTATTAAAGTCCCGACGCTTGAAATCCCGACTATGTCAAAAATCCGACAATATAAATCCCGACTATATCGAAATCCCGACTACCATAAAAATGTTATTGTAGAAATTTATAATAATAAAAGACACTGTCGGAATTTCGATATAGTCGGAATTATGATTGTCGGGATTATGGTAGTCGGGATTTCGGTTGTCGGGCTTCCGATTGGGCACCGACAAAATTGATGTTTTAATAACAAGAAATGTGTTTTTTTTACCTTTTGATTCATAACTTTATAACTAAAGTTGTTGTTACATAATCAACTTATTAATACTATATATTAGCATTAATAAATAACAACGTTTGATTTGTGTACTCAATTTATTAACAATGGAAACAGTCGCACAACATTGATTGTACAAGAAGTGAGTTGGCCTTTCAACTTGTCAACAACGAGCCGACTAATTAAACGATACTAAAATTAATTACTTATTACAATTCCCCCATGTTTTAATTAATCTAAGTAATTTTAATTAATTTTATGACTTTATTTTAAGCAGCGTACGTGTAATGATTAAATAGTTCAATTGAAATTAAAATATTGTTATTTTTCTTTCTACAATTTACATAATTCATAAATATAATTTAGCGTTGAAGCATTCACTTTTCTATAATTATAATATATTATTTTTTTACAATTCTTACGCTACAAATAATTATATTTAATTAAATTATAAATAGAACTATTTTACGCACTTTCTATTAGAATTACAACATAATTCATATTTTTTTCTAACGGCAATTTAAACTCGATTTATCTACGTACAATGATTTGGTTAGTAATCTAACAATTCTGTATTTAATATTTTACATGATTCATGTTGAAATTACAACATATTTCGTAGATTTCTACGTTAAAAATGTGCGTTTTTAAGTTATCATAAAGACAATAACGAATAAATAGATTAATACGCAAATATTAATTAAAATTGCATTGAAATTGTTGCTTTCTATTAGATAAATATGCATATAATTGTATTTGATGCGAATTGGATATTTAATAGCGAATAGGGTAAATAGGTGGAACCGCGTGTTCTGATTGGTTGCGCACGGGCCATAGACCGAACGCTGATTGGTTGAATATGGAACATCAATAAGAAATAGCCAAATTTAACTCAATAACAAAATGTCTGACAATACAACATTTTAAGTATCTTTATATGCACAACTTTCATTGTTTCTAATAAGAAATTAATGAATGCATATTGTACAAATGTTCACGCGTGTTTATTAAATAGAAAAATATCGGTGGCAAACACAAGCCCGACAACCGAAATCGCGTCTATCAAAATCCCGAGTGTATCAAAATCCCGACGTTCTAAATCTCGGCTGGCTCAAAATCCCGACGTTCGAAATCCCGACTATGTCAAAATCCCGACTATATCGAAATCCCGACTATATTGAAATCCCGACAGTGTCTGGTAGTCGGTAGTTTAACATAGTCGGGATTTCAAGTGTCGGGATTTTAATACAGCCGAGATTTCGAACGTCGGGATTTTGATACACTCGGCATTTCGGTTGTCGGGCTTGCGATATAAACCAGAAAAATATACGTAAAATTCAGGAAAGTAAGTTTGTTTACAAAATAATGCAATTGCGACCTTAAATAATATAATTCTAATTTGAAAATTCTATTGTTATTCATTGATTTTAGTTGAAATTAATCATTTTGTAATATTTTCTTAATTAATAAATAAATATAATGGATTGGAAAGTTTCTAAAATAAATCTAAAGATAATATTTTGAATATTTGAATTATAATTGTTTCATTTATGCAATTGAATCATATTTTAAAATAAATGTATTCATTTTAGCTTGTTTTATGCAGTTAAAGTATTTGATTATTCAATGAATTTGTAAAGAGTGTTGCCTACGTTGATTGTGCAATAAACTTATGTAACGGTTATTGCTGCCCGCTTTGATTTCGACTTATCGTTTGTTAATTGAAACAATGCTCTGGGGTTGTAAGATATATCGAGTTAAGTTGATTTGTTGCATATTGATTTCGCTTAACTCTGACGGTTTAGGGAACTGTAGCAGTAGAAGGCTGTGCCCTTTGTACAGCCACCAACAACCCTTGTAATTGGCGTCCAATGAATCATCAATTTAATTCATTGCCCTAATGCCAGTGCGTTTGCATTTACACTGTACGTACACGCACCGATCCCCTTTCTTGTACGCGGGAGGGTTGAAAGTCCAGGGTTCGGCGCACCACACCCTCCACCCGTCCCTCGAGGGGTTTAGCGACCGACCGGCGGGGTTTTTTTAAGGTTGGCAGCGCGCGGCGCGGCGTCCCAAACCCAAACGCACCAATGGTTGTTGGGTATCTGGTGGGGAAGCCATCACCGCCATCTTTAGGAGCAAAGTTGCGCGGACGCGGGTTTTAGTATACCCAAAGTTGATCATAAAGTGCGCCGGCTTTTGTAAACCCGCTGTTTGTGCTTTAATTACAAGGAATATTAAGAGCCTAGGTGAGTCCGACAAAACCATCATCAATTAGAAAGTGTGCGGAATAGCTGGACGGACACCGGCAGCAGGTTTTCGCCGCCCCCGAGCGCGTATTGTTCGAGGAAATCCGATTCACGAAAATTTTTTTTTTCCGAAGAGATGCACCGAAAAAGACATACATATAGAGAGAAGAAAAAAAAAAGACCTAACGAACACCGCTCCACACACCGAAGAAACCGGCTGCCGGTACCGAAAAACTATTTTTTCTCTTTGTTTGTTGAACCATTCTTGTGTAGTGTAGCATTTTATCAACGCAAATGTAAGAATAATCATTGTTTCGTCCACGCCGGTTTTGCGTCCATGCTCTTTTGTTTTTTTTTTATTGTTTGTTTCTATTGGAAACAATCGCTAAAATCCTGTTTGCAATTTCAAAAAAAAAAAAAAATCATAGTATTTTTATTTATATTATTTTTGGATACCCAAAGATTATTTATTAAAGAAATAAAAATGTTGGTTCGTTTCGCTCGAGGGTGGGTTCGGTTTCCTCCACCGATGGGGAGCCCCCCTTCGGCAGCTGTCACCTATACTCGGAGGGTGTTGGTTTTGGGCACTCTGGTTGGGTACCCACATGTCTGCAACGTTGCCAAACGAGCGTTGTTCACAAATATATAGCAACAACTTTTGTCTTCTTCTGCTGCACCGCCGTCGCCCCCCCGCGACTCATCCGAATTCCCGCCGCCACCACTGGTGGACCTTTCCCTCCTTTGTCTCCTCCGCGCCTGGACCATCTGAAACACCATCCACCATTCAATACTTATACACACACAACACAAAAAAAAAATATTATTCTTGTAACCATCCCACATCCATGCCTTATCGCTCTTTTGTTTATAAATATGTATCGGATATTTACATTATTCCACAGCAATCTATGCGTAAGCATTTCTTATAATAATAATAAAAGTCAAAGAAAACACTTTATGAAAACAATTAAAATTTTAGGAAAATCTGCTTGAATTGCAGAATTCCGCATTTGATAAAATACAAAATGGCTGTTAATTCAATATTGCATTATAATCTTCAAAGGCTACAAATACTTAACATTATATTTTGACTATTTTTTTTTAAATATTAGTATTACTTTTATTATTAAATATTGTGAAAGTAATTGAATGAGTCATTGAAAACTGATATTAGCGGATGGGACGATCCAATTAATTGATAATAATAAATAAATGAAACCGAGTATTTGAAACCGTGTACAATGAAATTGGAATCGGAGTAACTTTCAAATATAGTGTATTCAATTTCGTTATGAAACTATTTACTTGCTGTAGTATGTATACATTTTCCTCGCCCATATGGAGATAAGAAGGTGCACATACAATAACGTTTGTATTTGGTATAAATAAAAAAGAAATAATAAATATATATATATATATGGCAAAGAACCCAAGGCCGTAGCAATACACAAGCATGCATATTCTGTTACTTGCTTTCTTATTTCTTCAAACCTTCTTAATCCAGCCTTACATAAATGGGTGTGTTCTCGCCGGCTTCGATTCAATCTCCTTGTTTCTCCCCCAACCCAAAACAAAAAGTAAAGAAAATCAGATGCACCACGTGCTTTACTTTACTTTATTTATAAAAAATAAAATATGATTGAGAAATCGATTGTAAACGTATTTTATTACAAACGGTTGAGCAATTGCCGGAGCAGCAAATAGTTGTTAAATGCTGAGATAGATCCCCGTTCCGTTTTGGTAGAGGAAGGCGAGGAAATGGACTGTTAATTACGTAACCGAGCGTGAAATTCGTGTTATGCAAGTAGGCTTTAATTGCTGGAAGATGTTTAACACGTCATTATTCATCAAGGAATAAAAAGAACAACGTTAAACAAAACAAAGAGATTAATTTTATTTTTTTTTTCTTCTCTTCGATGAAAATATGTTTGTGCCATTAATATACTACTGACTCTGCTCCGATGTTTATCTCCACCGGTGGAGCGTAAGATGTTGGAAAAAGAAATGAAAAACGTAAACAGGAAGTTGCATGCACACTTCGTGCTCATTGGTAGAGAGATGCGACACAGAATATTTTGTTTGATTTTTTTTTATACCTTTTTGGATATTCGATTTGAATGAATTATAATAATAATAATAAAATAGTTACGTGATTGGAAAATCTTGTACTTTATCTCTTCATATACTTGGATTATTGGACAAATATTTAAAATAATTATTTTTGGATGTTGAATTTGAATGAATTACAACAATAATAACAAAATAGTTACGTGATTGGAAAATTTTCTATTTTAAGCTTATACTTGGATATTTGGATAAATATTGTACAAAGTAGTTGAAATTTAATTGGGTAATAGAAAATAGTTAAGTGAATGAAAAATCTTGTACTAAAGCCTAACTTTTGATAAATTTAGATAATAGGACAAATATTTTAAAAGGTAGTTGAAATGTTTAATTTTCAATGGAAAATTAGGAATAATATTTTATAACTAAAATACTCTATTAATTGTTACAAGTAGGTTTATTAAGGTTGTACAAATACTTGTCAAGTATCTTTTAACGGTTTACTTTAAGCTTATCTCTTCATATACTTGGATAATTGGGCAAATATTTTTAAAAGTAGTTGAAATTTAATCATTTTTTGGGTAATAGAAAATAGTTACGTGAATGAAAAATCTTGTACTAAACCCTAACTTTTGATATACTTGGATAATTGGACAAATACTTTAAAAAGTAGTTGACATGTTTAATTTTTGTTACGCGAATAGAAAATTAGGAATAATATTTTATAACTCTATTAATTGTTCAAGTAATTGGACTGTAGCAAGTATAGGTTTGTTAAAGTTGTACAAATTCTTGTCAAGTATCTTTTAATGGTGAATGTTGCAATTTGTACTTTAAGTTTATCTCTTCATATACTTGAATAATTGGACAAATATTTTAGAAAGTAGTTGAAATTTAATCATGTTTTGGGTAATAGAAAATAATTACGTGTATGGAAAATCTTGTACTAAAGCCCAACTTTTGATATACTTGGATAATTGGACAAATACTTTAAAAAGAAGTTGACATGTTTAATTTTTGTTACGCAAATACAAAATTAGGAATAATATTTTACAACTCTATTAATTGTTCAAGTAATTGGACTGTAACAAGTATAGGTTTGTTAATGTTGTACAAATACTTGTCAAGTATCTTTTAATGGTGAATGTTATAATTTGTACTTTAAGCTTATCTCTTCATATACTTGAATAATTGGACAAATATTTTAAAAAGTAGTTGAAATTTAATCATTTTTTGAGTAATAGAAAGTAGTTACGTGTATGGAAAATCTTGTACTAAAACCCAACTTTTGATATACTTGGATAATTGGACAAATACTTTAAAAAGTAGTTGACATGTTTAATTTTTGTTACGCGAATAGAAAATTATGAATAATATTTTATAACTCTATTAATTGTTCAAGTAATTGGACTGTAACAAGTATAGGTTTATTATCGTTGTACAAATACTTGTCAAGTATCTTTTAATGGTGAATGTTGTAATTTGTACTTTAAGCTTATCTCTTCATATACTTGAATAATTGGATAAATGTTTTAAAAAGTAGTTGAAATTTAATCATTTTTTGGGTAGTAGAAAATAGTTACGTGTATGGAAAATCTTGTACTAAAGCTCAACTTTTGATATACTTGGATAATTGGACAAATACTTTAAAAAGTAGTTGACATATTTAATTTTTGTTACGCGAATAGAAAATTAGGAATAATGTTTTACAATTCTATTAATTATTCAAGTAATTGGACTGTAACAAGTATAGGTTTGTTAAATTTGTACAAATACTTGTCAAGTATCTTTTAATGGTGAATATTATAATTTGTACTTTAAGCTTATCTCAAGTCATATACTTGAATAATTGAACAAATATTTTAAAAAGTAGTTGACATTTTTGTTAATTGGACTGTTATAAGTACAGGTTTATTAAGGTTCTACAAATACTTGTCAAGTATCCTTTAACGGTATAATTTGCAATTGCAAATGAAGTTGTATTTTGTCGATTCATATCTGTTTTTTTAGTAATAATTAATTGATTGAAGTTCTTCCTGCTTTCTCAAGTTTCTTTTGATTATCGTTTGATCGAAGAACTGAAATTCTGCGGGTTTTTTTTTCTTGTGAAGATGAGATTAACATGAAAGTGCTTTTGATGTTTTCAAAGAAGAAGGTAGGTGGTGTAGAGTGCGATGTCGAGTGGGGCGCAAAATGCAAATCGCGATTGGATTTTCGATTTTATGCAATGAATAAATTTGAATACCTAATCGAAATCGGTGTTTGTGCGCCGAAGAGAGGAGAGGTGTACCACCTTTGCATATCCTCGAGAGGTGCAATAGAATATTTATTTATATAAGATTAGATGCGAGAAGAAGACCTTGATCGTGAACTTGCTTCGCTCTTGAGATCTTCGTCCTAGACAATGAACCCGAAGACCATCGAAATCTGAGAATCTATGTGGAGTAGACTTAAGATGCGGAGAAGAAAGTCGATGTAAAAAAAAAACAACAAGAAGTTCAGAAGAATAGAAAAGAGCGCGCGAGTTGAGAAGAAGTCGTAATCGAAGATCGTCCGTCGCGCACGTCCGCTTATATAAATAAGTCGAGAGAGTTCACGAGCCGTAGTCGATCGGGCACTAAAGACAATAATAATATCTCGTAAGATAATGGCAGGATCATTGACATTTGAAACGCAATCATCGGTTTGCAGAACGAGAAGCCAGATGGTGTATTTATAGAAAATACACAGCGCATGCAAAAATAAAACAAAGGAGAAACGCAGGAAGAACACCACGAAGAAAAATAAACAAGGAATCATCGATTGTGCATTTAGTTCGTGCCATGATGTATGATTAATTAACATTGTATAATTTTAATTTAATTCGAGTCGAGTTTTTCCCAGAAGCGCCGAAACGCCACAATAAATTAAAGTTTTTAATTAAAAGTCGGCGCAAA